AAAAACTGCAAAATAAATGCTGTATAAAATCCCTCTGCATGAGATGATGCTTAAAAACACAGAGATGTGTGGGACTAAGCCAAAACAGGATTCTCATTGGCTCACAGTATGTGCCACTTTTAAGCACTATTTTCATTGGTTGAATTGACTTCCAGCCTCCTCTGGTACATAACACCCTTAAAACGAACATATGTAACAGGCTACAATTGACATACTAACCAAGTGAATTTACAGTCCATGCCCATTTAATGTATACTCTCAATAAAAACTTCTCGAACACCTGAGCACGATGGATGTGAGAATGAGCATAATGGGGCATGTCATCTCGGAATGGTTTCAGATTCTTTGTTCACTTTTCAGATTGCATAGTGCTTATAACTTTCAAGAAGTTTTTGGTGAGAGTGTACATTCAGTGTATGTATGTTTGCAGATGTGTACATCTAATTATAGTACAATACCATAAGTTTGAGCTTACTATACATTCATATGCTTGCAGATAGTGACACTGCACTCATGTGGGACCTGTCCAGTCACATGCTCACTGACGCTCTTCACTTTGTTTTGTTGTTAGTTTAGCTTGGGTGACTGAATATTTTGTTATACCCTACAGCACTAGGAGGGAAAAACAAAACAAAAAGAAAGTCATATAAATGCTGCTGCTGCTCTGGTGGTATTAAAAAAAAATGCATGTTATTAATTTGGGTAAGAATATTAAAATAATCCTTTTCAAAATCCCCTGAAAGTTACCCTTCTACCTCCCAGCCATAACTTCTCTCCTTATTTGTACGTACCTACTCCTCAAGTCCTGTATGCAAGTGAATGTAATAATTTAACCTCTTACCACAATACTGTTACCATAGAGCTGCAGGAATCATTCTATGAGTAAAATAGACAAGTGATGTTGGTAAATCAGCTAAAATTAGGGTCACAGTCATCTGGAACATATCTGTCATTCTGATACAGCACCACCCCAAAATTACTATGAGTTTAATGTTATTAGTTAGGGTTATATCTTGTGGCATTTTTCTTACATAAATGGTATTGTACTTTACTTGAAACTTTGAATAAAGCTTTTAAAACAAAATATGAATGAAAAACAAATCAAATAAAAATATGAGTACAGTACAGTACATTACATTAGAAGTTATTTGAAACATGGAGCCTAAAGACTTTTTCTTTGTTTCTTTTGTACATGACAAATTCTTTTTTGTATAATGTACTTGCTCACTGTTCTAAGTTTACTTGTTCACATATCACCAGCTATCTATTCTATGCAATCTAACAAAGAAATTACTGCAAGTATAAATGGAAATTATAAACACACTTCACTTGCAGAAAAAAATGATGGTGGGTAATCCTCATTAAGCTGCGATAAGATCATAGTGTGAGGCACACTAGCAGGTTAGATCAGGGCTTGTGAGAGTGGCAAGTGAAGTCTCTTTCTCTGTTTAGTAGTGGGTAAGATCTCCCACTGTTAAGTCAGGCAGGTGATGCAGTTTCTATTATTATCCTACAAATCTTATGTATTTTCTAAAAAAAAAAAAAAAATGTATACACATGTTTTACCTGAACAAAATAACAGTGCTGTAATGGGAGGGTCATGTAAGTAATGAGAACTGTAATCTTAACATTAATAACTTAAATATTTCTTAACATTAGAGAGCTTTTTCATATTGTTATTCTGACATGATTTATGAAAACCAGCAACATTCACCTGGTAAATGCCAAACACACATGGCCCACAAAAAGTTAACTTCTTCAAAATTGTTGAGGCATTATGAGTGTAACTGTACCAGTAAATACAGTAGGTATGGACAGACTACTGGTGTCAGTTGTAAGGGTATGACAATAATTTAGGAGATCAAGTTTATAAGAAGATAAGTAGTGGAGTATCCTAGAGTATCTCAGATACTTATTAAAATTAAAGCATTTCTATCAGTTTACAATATAGTCTATGTAATCTAATTGTGCTAAACAGAAATATGAGCTTCTTTTTGGGGACAGATTGAGGACTCTGACAGTAAACTTGGTTATCTCTTCTGATGTTCATGTTCGAACAAATATGTTTCAGGCCAATTACAGTTTACATTTGTTTGTACAGTATTTTCAATTGTCTTTATAGCACACAATTTACCATTATAATAACTGGTAAATTTTATGTACAAGATAAAACTGTGAAAACATAATATGAAATACAATTATGTAACCATAAGTTGTTAGCATTAATCACTTGTAAGCTGCTGATGTATTTATTGAAATTTCTACACTACAGTACACAGTTTACTGCACACTTATCATTATGGAACTAGGTTTGTACTCTGGGATTATTCACTATCATACATCACTGTACAACACACTTTTTGCTCCAAAAGGTAAAATGGCAAATATCCTCCAATCTCTAGCAAGCATTAAAAGATGAAAGTTTGTTTGTTTTCATGCTAATGTTAGAATGTTATTTATGTGACTAATTTCATTAAACTATTTCAATTTATTTCTTAAAAGAATTTCACTTTAATTAAGTTTATGGAAGACATTTTTCAATAAAACTATGAAATGATACAAAACCATGTAAGCAATAAAGTTATAGAACTGTACCATAATGACAAGTTATCCAGCATTGGTTATGTGTTATTGCTGTGGATATTGTCAACTGCTGACAATAAAAATAAAAAAATCTCCAATATATTATAAAATGACACTAAGCATGTACTGTACACTTTCTTCAGGGAACCAATAAATCAAAACAACCACCAATAATGTCTGGTACAGCATCACTGTCCTTATATCATTCTCCTCTTGCAGTGAGTCAATGAAGCAGGTACCTTATCATAATCACTGTATTAGTCATCACTATCATCTTCAACATTGTTCAGTGTCGCATCATGTCCTCATCATTTTCTTCTTGTGGTGGGCCAATAATCCAGGTGCCAAAATTGATAACACAGTCTTCTTGTGAATGTGCTTAAGGCTTATGTGCTGTGGTAGAAGCAATGTAGAATCAGAAGAATCATGGTCATAATAATAACCTCCAATTACGATTCCTTTTTACTCTATTAAAGTAGAGTACTCAGTCACCAACCGCTGTTTCTTATCTTGTCATCACTTAGACTTACTGTAAAGTGTAAACCAATCTTGTTTCCTTAATTAATATCTTATATGTTCTATTGAATATACACCAAAAGCTCTTCAAAAATTAAACTACATACACACATCAGTAGTCTAGACAACACTGTTTACTACCCTTGTTCAGCATAGGCTCCCTATTTTTTTTGTAATTCTGGGGTTTTTGTTCCTAAAGTAAGATAAAGAAAGTTGTTTAAACTGAGTGCCTGATTTGGATGCCACGTCCTATGCTGGACTACTTGCATGATGATGTGGACTTGGTGTCCAGACTATTTTCTTAGGAGAAAGCATCTATATAAGGAGATTATGTCAGAATTTTGAGGGTAAGGACTGGTTTTAACAAAATTAATTTACCCTCTCAATATTTTCATAATATCTGTGACTCAAGCCCCAATGGGTTAGCCAAGAGTCATATACTGTAGTGTAAAACAAAGAACCACAAAAGCTCTTCCATAAAATAAATCATATATGCACATCATTATACTGTACACTGGCTCTTCTGTTTATGATGGTTATCCTGCTGGTCAATCAATCCACCAAAAACTATTTGGGTTTGGGAATATTCTTCCAGTATGTACTAATGATTATAAAACTGTCCAAGTAACAATATACTGTAAGGAAAAATTCTTAAACACATTTGATACAATAGCAATCCCAAATTTATAGTAAAAGAAAATTTTATTAAATTACTGGTCAAAATAAGGCATTACCTACAACTTGGTAAACAATCATACAATTGTTTAAGAATCCAACTTTCAAATATCACAAATGACCATGTAGCAATTGCTACTATCAAGCAAAACAGAATGCGGTAATAGTGCATATAATTATTTATCTGACTTAAGAAGGCATTAAAATAAGATGAGAAAAGCAAGACAGTTGACTGTCACTAGATGAATTCTGCCAGCAATGAAGTGATTGATCCTATCAAAATCCATTTTATGATGCAAGAGATGAATAGAGAGTTCCAGATGATGGTGTTCTCATCCAAAACTCAATATATCATCTGCTTTAAAGAAAAACTGCTATTTCTTTGAAGGATCCATGGCAATCCATTTACAGATGGAAGAATAAGCTGTTTCAACAGCCTTTTGTTGCTCTTTCTAAGGTGACAAGTGGGCTCTATCCTAGAGATTCAGCTGGAGTAAACCTTGAGTCATTTATGGCATTTAATCTTAAAAATAAATTGATAGGTTACATATAACCTATGAACTTAGTTGGTACAGTACAGGTATAATTTTATTTACAATAAAGCCCTAGGGATACATCCCCCTAGATTTATTGGATGTGTGGAATTGAGTGATCCCAATTCAGTTATTTATGAGGACTTCAGGATCAATCCACCATTTTGTATCTAAATATTTTATGAAAGACTTGAATTCATCCAAATCCTCTTCTCTTTTGCACAGATTAACTTTTTTATGATTGCTCAAAACTTTCTCAGACATTTCTGAGTTTCTCTTCTAATAATTAACATTCCCTTTAAATGATCTTCTAAAAGCATCTCTTATTTTCTTTTTCTCCCAACATCACCAACACCCCTTCACTGCCCCTCACTCTCTCTCTCCTTTTATAAAAGTTACTCCTCTCAAAACTCTTATCATTTAACTTACCTTTATGTCTCACTTTCCCTCAATTTCCATTACCATTCATTTCTTTGTTCTGTCCCTTCTCCTTTCCCCTCCCTCCCATTATATCTATCTTCCTTCCTTGGTTCTCTCCTACTTAATTATCACTTATTCCTCTCTTCCATTCACTTTCCTTCACTACTTTCCCTGAATCCATTTAATTATTCCCTCTATTATGTCTCTCTCTTTTTCAATATTCTGTATATCTTTTTCTTAACTCACTTCTTCTTTCTGATAACTTAAGCTTACCTCTTCCCCCTCCTTTCCTTCCTCTTCCTCAGCATCTCCGAGAGCATCTGCATCAGCCAAGTTGTCGACAGCAATAGCCAAGAAGACATTCAGTAGGATATCTGATGTAGGAGTCAAGGAATAGCAGACACAACTTCACATAGTAATAAGTAGTATAGCATTCTAGGTACTTTTTTATCTTAACAAAAATCCTGAACTTAAAATACATAAATAAATTACTTTTCTATGGGCTATAATTCAATAATGACTATTTGCCTATTTGAGTTATATCCGTATGGAGATAATATTGATCTGAATAAATGTGTGCCCCAGGATCCCATCAGCAACCCTGAGACAAGAGGCAAGCACTGTATCCACGCAATTGCCAAATCCCACGTTAGATAGTATCCATGTAACCTTAATGCAATACGTACAGAAAATCAATCATCCATAAATTAAATGTATTATGATATCAATTGCTGATGAAAAGCCCTAACAGTTTTACCCTCAACATAGAGCGGACTTTGTCAGCAGGATACTGACTCACGGAAAGAATCTATCCTAATATTTTTTATGTTCATTTGAATTGTGTACAAGATCATACCAAATTATACAGTCTCATAGGTTAAGTAATATGTAAAGGATACAGTTACCACAGATGAAAAGGATGATAAAGTAGACACAGGCAATGATTCCAGGTGTCGCTACTCCACCATAGGCACGGATACCATCATACATCACAACGTTCCAGTCCTCTCCAGTCAAGATCTGCTCGGGAAAAAGCCAGGCACGGTGGTTACCAAATGTCAGTTCTGGAGATGTAGGTTCTAAGTAATAGTTATGAAAGGTTACTGCTGATCAAACTGTGACAATAAATATTACCAATACTTATCACTGCTGTTATAGGTGATTTTTCCTTAAGGGCGACAGGTATTTCAACAATCTATTACTGATGACAATGTTGTTATTACTTGCAGCTATCAAAATTCAACCAAAATCATAAATTGTTAAAAGTAAAACAACAATCAATTTTTACAATGATTTCTGATGGGTTACTACCACCGATTCATCAAGTATCTACCGAAGAAAGTAAGGCTAATCTTATTTATCTTTTCCATATGACACGATATTTCTGGTAATGAAGATGATGAACTCAAGTTACTGTACATAACCTTACAAAATTTCTTCCTGAGTTATATATTTTGTTTGCCATCTACTTAATCTAAAACTGATTCTACACTGGAAAGCAACTCATTGTACTATAAATATATCTGATCTTTATATGGTAATGAAATATCTATACAGTATATGCTTTAGATATATGCTCGATACATAAATTGGGTTTGACAGTTAAAGCGTTCACTATTACTAATGTTTATCTCAACATGCATTGAACATGCAGAATATGAAAAGGTTCAAATGTAATTGCAAGTAAAGGTATTTAAGTTAATAAATGCTGAGAAACACATTATATATATATCATAAATATCCATGCATGTAGTACAGGGTATTCCCATTTAAGTTAAAAATCAAAATAATTATAACTAGTGCAGAATCAACATGATCCTATTTGCCATTCTCATATGTACACACACAGGACCTACAAGTTAAAAAGCAACATAAAAGAAGGGTAGTAAAAAATATATCTGACAAAAGGAGGATAAAAATTATAAAATTTTCTTTATATTGTACATACTAACTAAAACCGAAGACTAAAATCTCTGTTCTGTCAACCTCCTAAATGTCAGCCGCCCATTACCAAGTTCAATGTTGTCGGTTGTACCCAGTCTTCCCTGACTATGTTCTCTTTCAACAACACCTGCTAGGTACAGTTCCCACAAAACAGTATCGTTATATTTTCCATCATTACAATTTGAAATGTTAGACGAAATGTTTTGATATGATTTCCAGTGCAACATCATAAATTGGTACGCCTGCTGGCCATATCAGCAACAGCTAGAGATAGTGGTAAGATTGGGGGAGGGAGTCGTCCTTGTATGGCATACTAAATACTTAAATATAACAAGAAATCCATTAAGCTATAATAATCTAAGTATCGTGCTGGGTAGAAGCAAGGCATATGTAAACAAGCCACTGACTTATGATTACAATAACAGTGAAATATATATTAAATGAAATGTTTTGGAACATCATAACCGAGATTGAGACAGATCTCAAAACGGACATTTCACCATAACGTTGTTGTACTAACGGAGTTTCATTCATACGGAGTTTCACCATATGCTTACTCATATTCTCATATTGTTCATGATATAGTATGTCTGATTTATGAAGAGTGACTAAGCAAATAGAACTTGATATTAGAGTGAACAGCTACAGCAATATACAATACTGTATATCGGTCTACATGGGATCTGTCATGTTACTGATTTATAAATTACATTGGTTTAACACTGAAATAAGGTTTCAAATCAAGGGACTTGCAAGCAACAGAACCCTCCATCCACGTATAGTGGTTGTAAGTTTCAGTGTGGCACCAGTTGTTTAATGGCGCCTAACCTATGGTGATACTGTGGGTTCACTCACCACAGCGTTATGTACACCCTCATTACATATACCCTCGCTGTGAAGGGCAATGATAGCAGCTCTCGTATCTTGTGATGTCTCCCCAATAATTCCTCACTCCATTCGATGTAAGATCCCGCTGATAACTGGCATGGTGTTGGTATCCATTTACGTTGTATACACTGTAGTACCTTGATGCACCGGACTAATTAGGGCAGACCCTAGTCCAAAAAAAAGCAAAAGTCCGAAGAAGCGAATCTACAGGTACAGGCAAGTGGACATAATCCCTCTTATGTGGATTGTTTCAAGAAAATCAGACTAAGTCTGGTTGTCAACAATTGTTTTTACTGATATGACTGTTTCATATTGTGAAGTGTTATATGGAAGTACTCTACAGTACTGGTAACCACAGATTTTGCTAAAATGTCATTTCAATGTGCTCGTGTGCCTTATGAATAAAGAAAAAACTAGGAGATGAGTGTGTATCTGGGAACAGTAACTCATCAATAATTCAGCATTTGACATCTAATAAAAAAGGGTTAATTACAATAAAAGAATAAAACATGCAGATACAGAAAGAAGACACACATAAGATGACTGATAAAAATAAAATATTAAAAGCTGCAAAGAAACTTCAATAACTGATAATGCACATCTGGACTGGAATCAGGGCAGCACTACAGCTCGGAGTCTACCTGGAACACCGTCAACATGGCCTGAACGAAGTTGTCAAAGTTATGACGCGGTTTATCCTCAGTCGGGTTAAAGTTAAAGCGGCCACCGAAGACTTGCATGCCCAGGAGAGCAAAGATAATGATAAAGAGGAAGAGCAGGAGCAGCAAAGAGGCGATCGACTGGATGGAGTTGAGGAGGGAAGCAACCAGGTTGGAGAGTGACCGCCAGTATCTGCAACAAGGGATATACATGTTGGGGCAGAGTCAATAAGCTTACACAAAATGTAGCTTTTATAGCAAGAAAAGTTAATGAGAAACCTTAGAAGCTCATAGAGATTGTGGCCTTATCTGATGAAAGATTCAGATGTAGTTGCCATTTTAAAAGATTTTTATGTGATGTAAATTATACAGAACATAGGAGGAAGTAAAATCTACATCACAAATGGTGCTAACACCTCATGGGAAGCGAGTCTTACCCCTGTATTTATAAGGATATCCTTGTTTGACCCCTTCGATATGCTGACATGCTCAACAAAAAATATGTCATCGTCCTTGGAATTTAAAACTATAATTGAATTCATTTATATCTTACAAATCCAATGATATACCGTAAGTTGTTGAGATGCCGTGTCATTTGGTTAATACAGAATCTAAATTTCATCTAACCTTTGTTCCCAGCTAACACCAGGCCTTATCAAGCAATACAACTAAGATAAACCTTACCACAGTATTCATCCTTTAGTTACCACTACGAATCTACATTTTTGTTATGGTGAAATATCATTACCAAGTTGCATTGACAATTATAAGGAATATATTGTAGATACTGGTAACCATGAAAGAGTTGTTGAACACTTGACACAAAAGTCTGGTAACATGAGTGAGACAAAGGAGCAGGAAGTCAAACTAACTAAGATTTACTCATTATGGATGCCATTAATAAAAATGAAATATTTACATGACGTTATGGCTCTGGAATCTTACAAGTGACCTGAAAGAGACAAACCATTGCCAAAGAGCCTTAGGCAAAGCCTGCCATTACCAAGGAGTTGTGCAATACTTGAAAGTAGAATATATTATCCATGCAAACAATATACTGTACTGTACTGTATAGCATAAAGTGATGATGCAGTGATGTCCTCTCACTGATTGTGTTAGGGACTGATGAAACAATCAGGTCAGAGGTCCTCAGACTCTTGACCTCATTGGCTTCAAAACTCATCCAATCACATGCAAAAAGGGGCTCCACCACTCATATTCCCTACTCATGGACACTGTCAACTCCTTCCAACTGAAGTCCAGTGAACAGGCTTTGAAAGGATAATTAAGTGTTGTTCTTATACTTTTTCATCTTGGGAATTTTTAATTATACCTGTACTATAAAATCCTGTTTCATTCTGCACACTTTTTGCTTGTGTTTAATTTTTTACTAAGCAAAGTGAATATTGTTTACATTTGTTGCTTAACTTCCCCAATGTTGTTAGTTTCAAGTTTATATTTTTATTCACATAAAATGTCTATAAAATCCTAGTCATAGGTGTAAGCATATTTGGAAGTGCTATGGAAAAATATGTATAACACACCAAAATGAGTCAGTTCAACTAAACACATCACTGTAAAACCTGTTGATTACCACCACAATTCTTGTAAAACAGAGGAAAGAAACTGCACAGGCAAGTCATTACTGTATATATTAAAGTATTTTGAACTTTCATAGACATAGAAATAATATGAATTAGGGAAGTAACACATATTGATACTGTGTACAGAAGAAGATAGTATCAGAAAGAAAAAATTGGTTCTGAACCAATTATGAGTTGAGGTTACTCATACAGTATAATCAAATGTTGATACCCTGATATGCAACTGCCCCCCACCCCCCTCCTTCAACTCCACTAACGTACTTTGGTGTTGGTTTTATTTTTACAACTTGTAAGCACTTTTACTGAAGTAGCTTTTATCAGTACTTTGTTCACCCTGACTACTTGTCTACTGTATATATTCAACATTACTGAACTAAAGACTGGCTTTACTATAAATATCTATTAGAACATATTTGCTGTATCATTGTGAATGAGTAAAGGAAATCCAGGCATAGATTTAAAATAAATTTTCTTTATAAATTTCAGGTTGTTTGGCAGTCCATTCAGCCAGGTTCCAGTTTTCTCCAGTGGCCATGAAGCTTTGACAGTCAGCATGCTGGAACCTTTGAAACAGGATATATTTCTAAGCCTTAACTGTGTTGCTCATGGGTGGTAAATTTGTTTGTATGACAGAAAAAAATAACTGGTATATGGTATTCCCTCATCATGCTTTCCTGTCAAGCTTTAATATACAAGGATCATAAGGAGAAGTTAAAAAGGAAAAGCTAAAACATTAAATAAAAATCTGGAGCTCTGCTTGTCGTCATCTGAAAGTGACTGAAGAGAGAAATGCAGACTCACTCTGAAAGCCTAAAAGCCAGATAATTAATCACATTAATATATTAAAGATTTTTACCCTAATATTGTAATAGGAACAATTAACAGTAAAACTATGCAAATTATTCCTAAGGTGGTATAACTGAGTAGAAATTGGTTTTGAAAAATGATGATGAGATTAATTAATGGTTGAAATGGGTAAAATACAGTATTAATAAAATAGTGTTCTTAGTTCTTCAAAAATATTCAAGTCCTCTCTGAAACCATTACTGACTGGTGTATGAAGGCCCTTGTATTGAGGTGCATTATCCAAATCCTTCCCATTAGAGCCATTGAAAAAAAAAGTTAAAAAATTGTCAATCATAACCGAGTTTTCTTGTTGGATTTGTTCCTGTAGATATACTGAACTGTCTCAACCTAAGGTAAGCCCTTATATGACAGGTTCAACAGTTACAGAAAACTTTTGTTTTTTCTTGAGTTGGAAGTTAGTTATTAACATCTGAAATTTGCATGAAGAATATTCAGTAAAGTTTCTATGTCGTTCCTAACACTGAGTGAGAATCCAAGTAGACATAAAGTACAGTAAAAAAAAAAAAAAAAAAATATGATCATATGCAGTATATACAGGGTACAGTATTTATACACAATAAATCTTTAGTTAGTTTCTTATGGGAAATTTACATTCCTGTACATATCAATTGACTCTTTAATTAGTTATGGTGTACATTCATCTGTATAAATTTTTAAAGCATACGAGTCATTAGTAAAAACTAATCAATTTATGAATTTCCAACAATAACATGCTTGGTCCATTTAACAGTCAATAATGACCACTGTAATAACAGCAAAGGTAAAAATAACTTGATAATGTACAAGATCAAAATATTACAAATATGAGTTCACAGTTAAGAAATGAAGTTAATTACTTTATCTATGAAATCATATGAAAATTTATACCCATTGTTATGACAATACAAGTGATATACAGTAATTCATGAGTGAAGATTTTATGTGACGAAAGTTTAGTACTGTACAGTTTATGCAGCTCTCTGTACAGTTCTCTACTGACATGAAATATGTTAATTGCAAAAGGTTATTTATGTACAATATAAGGTCATTAAATGAGATTTTTTCAGAAAACCAAGACTTAAACATGATGACAACAAATGTATCCTAACATTATTACTTAACCCTTTCACTGTGGCTCCCCCAAAAGAGAAACTGTCTCTGTGGTTAGCTAACAAAATGTAGAACCTCAACACGTGAAAAATAAAATAAAGGTTTCTATGTCTATTATAACCTATGCAATCTTGCCATGTACTGGTTCTTATATTCACTGTCTCTGGAGGTCAGTTTTTTATGAAGATGCCATAAAGCTCTTACCACTACATCACAGGCGCAAGATCTGACTCAGGACACACATGGGAAGGGTGTTAGCCAGTGTGTCCCTACTAAACATCACTGGTTTCCTCTGGGTACCCTTGTTTCCTCCTGTACTAACACTGGACATTAAAGTTCATAATAAAGTAACAAAGAACAGGCTAATAAACTGATAAGTGGAGAGAGAAAAAACAAAAGGCAGTAGGACAATGTGGCACTTGTGGGGCATCACTAGATACCTCCAATATTATGGAATTATTGACACAAATTGATTCAGATGTCTTGAGTGAGCTTTCAAATGATGGTGATTGGCTTTATCCAGAATGAGAGAGTGAGAAGAAAGTGACAGCAGCGATAGTGAAATACTGAAGAAGATATTGATTACAAAGATGAAAATTGATGTGTGGGAAGCAGTAAGTATGGACTGTTTCTTCCTTAACACATATATGGGTTGTGGTACTAAAAATATCTTAATGGAAAAAGAAAAAAAAATGTGAGGAGGAAAGTTTTAAAAATATAACTTGTGTCTATATTCATATCTTCAATACTTATTGTAAATCAAATATGCAGTATTATACTGTATTTATGTACCGAAAGTCTGCAAAAATATGATAAAATTGGTAAAAATACAAGATAATGCAAGAGGAAACAAAACATATGACAACTTACATTATATGCTATCAATACAGACAGGGATATAAAATTTGGACATCTACCAGATATAAGTAATATCCTACCATTCTGAGTACCAGTTACTATTCTATTCAACGTGAATCAAAATGTTAGATACATATTCTTTCTATTATCAAAAAAGATCCACAAAAAAGATGGGTGATGGGCCTTAAGAACACCACAGTGAAAGGGTTTATGAAGAGGAAAAATGTAGGATTGGTGAATAAATCCCACTTCATGACAAAAAGAATGAAATGGATGGCAAGTAAAATTAATACCTCTAAGTCATTGCCTGGCAGACCTTACCTCAGCCAGAGGGCTTTAATATGTTTGGTGGCAGGATACATCATCCATAAAGACAATGATTTTACTATACAGCAACTCCTCACTCAGTTCAATCAGATTTGAACCTGTGAACCAACCCCATTTACTAAAGTACATGTAGTCACCTTTGGACAATTGAGGGTTCATGTCAGAGGCCAAAACTCTTGGATGAATCTTGTATTTTGAAATGCTTTTTACCATAAAATAAAGTTAATTTAATTAATCTTGTATTTTATGTTGATTTACAATCCAATCTAGGAAGAAGGATGGGAAATAAGGTCACTCATTTCTTCCCTTGATCAACAAAGAGTATTTCATACTTCAGTCCTTTATTTGTGACCTTGGAGTCATTAATTTTCTGACTTTTGAGATTCTAAATGACCAGTAATGAGGATACAGGAGATCCTGAGACAAACCACTGGAATGAAAGAAGAAAAACTGGTCTGATAGGGTGAGGAGCTTCTTTGTAGGAAAAACAGTGTTGGCATGGTTGATGCCACCTACTGCTCAACATGTTTGGACTCACTGGCAAAGGCAGGCTGCAACCAGGGTGTTATAGTAGTATGAATCTTGAACTGATGTCCCATAGGTCATTAAATACTGTATTCCACTTTGTTAGGTGTATTGCTGGCAGGCAATGACAGTGTATCTATCTTTAATAAGCAATGATTAGGAGTTTTGGCTGGATAATGCAACCACCAGCACCTGGCAATCAATGTCACTAATAATGTTGCTAGAGGCAGATGCAAAACCATTAATGAAGTTGGCTTTAATGCAGATGAAACTCTTCCTTCTGGCTTACTGCATATTATCAATTCCAATATTAGTAACTAAAACTATAAAGTCAACAGAATGTAAATACGTCAAATGTATTCAAAGATTTTTTAAAGACTCTGTACTGGACAATACTGTTATGTATATGTGTACAGTACATGAAATTAAAAATTCCTTGCAAGTAAGCCAGTATTCAAATTCATCTTCAACCTTCCATTCCTTAAGTAAAGTCTCTTCCCTGGCATATGTACCTGGAACACTGTCAACAAGGCTGCCCAAAATGAATTAAAATTACTCCGTTGTTCTGAGGAGAATTTACCACCAAATATCTGCATCCCAAGTAGGGTAAAAATAAAGATGAAGAGGAACAGTACAACTAGGAGTGACATGATGGATCGACACTGGGACACGAGGGAGTGGACCAAGTTGCTCATGGACCGCCAATACCTGAAACAGCCAGAGGAACCACTGGGGTTAGGGTTTGAGTTGTAGACAAAAGAGCAGAGAGGCTTTTCGGACCTGATAATGCTTACCTGGAAAAACTTCGGATACTCTCATAAACAGAAAAAATTAAAAGCATCACCTTGGAAAACTTATATATACTGTATAAGCCTTCACAAAATATATTCACCATGAAAGAAAAAGTTGAAAATTTCATAACTTTGCCCATTTCATGACTAGCAAGTTTAATCTATGGGAAAGTATCCCTTGAAAATACCTGACAGACAATGTAAATTTTTGGGACAATCTCTCTGGTTCTGACAGTAAAATGATAAAGCAGAGGAATAAATTTAAAAAACCCACCTTATGGCCCAGGGTAAGAGTCAAGAAATGTGAATTGTCAAATTAGCCCAAATTTCCAAAGTCCCACATCTGTTTTGATAAGATGCTGAAATTCACCTCAAAATAACAATAATGGAGATATGAGAAAGCTACAAGAATTCCAAAATAAAGAAAATTCAGAAAATAATGCATAATAAACAGAAGGCAAAAAAAAGTGCAGTACTGTACATATACTTACTTTGCAGAAGATTGAGGTGATGTACAGAATATCTGGATATAAATTGTGGAAAAACAAAGTTACCAATAAGGGAAGAGATCTTGAGGATTCCCACTTTATTTCTACAGGCGACAGTCAATGCATTGTCAACAAAAAAATGCATTTTCCCTACCAGGACGAAAGGAAGAGCCAGAAGCTCCTTCAAGTAAGAAACAAAAGAACCAGAAGCTCCTTCAAGTCAAGAAGGAAAGAAGAACCAGAAGCTCCTTCAAGTCAAGAAGGAAAGAGGAACCAGGAGCCTCTTCAAGTTAGAAAGACAAAAGCAAAAACACGACCACCTTCAAGTAAAATCATGTTGATGTTGATGAAGTGGAGCCACCATCCACTAAAACAGTCAGCTAAAAACTGAACTCAGAACAGTGGGTTGGCCTGTAATCATCATGGTGGTCAGTACAGTATACTTCAACACATTGTACAAGGCACTGTATGGGCAGAATCGGTTCTAACAAGAGGTTCTAGCTGGTGTTATAAGGTGACAGTGTAAAGGACAGGAAAGGTATTTGGTATATCCAAATGGATTAATAGATCAAGTTTGGCTGACATTAAGAAAGAGATTGATAGATTATATGGGCAAATCAATGAGGTCTAAAGGTATTATATTATACTGTAATGCCTAAAATGATTCTTCAATGTGAAGTCATTTCATATGTGAAAGTGGTAACCCACATGAGCCTGACAACTTATTTTACATGCAGAGTGACTTGATATTAAGCATTGTGAATCAACGTGATGTTAAGATTCATTTTGTATACTGTATAAGCACATGAAGGATATGAGCAAGTAGTTCTACTTGTCTTGGCTCTTCCCTGATAATTTCTATGTCAGTCTTGCAATACTCTAATCAATATTTGAGGTTCCTGTGCCCCTTGATCAATGTAAAATAAAAATAGAGAATTATTATTATGTTTAAGGCAAAAGTGAATTGGGTCCCCAGGTATTCAGAAATTACAACACTGCTAATGTAAAATGTCTTAAACTGATGTAGAATAATATATCCACATCATACACATAATCCACTACTATACTGACTGTAAGTGGTTACATAACACAGAAATATTCAATGGTGAATCACTGAATGGTTTGATGGTGTAAGACACAAAGATGAAGTTTTCCATTTTTCTCTAATTACTGATAACATAAGTAATTTTTTTAGTTTACTTTGCTGCTTTGACAGCAAAATTAAGTCAGTGGCTTGTTTAATCCTCCCATTGTTCCTGATAAGTTTGTCCTTCACTGTCAGTACAGGATGAAGCCAGAATACCCAGGGAAGACCCTGTGATGTTTGGCAGGGTCACACTAATCAATGCTTTGACATATGCCAGAAATAAATGTCACAGCCACAGGAGTTATGAAAAACAAAAAAAAATGTATTCAGCAAAGATAATATTAAATAGGATTCAGCCATCTATACCTACCTGAAATATGCTGATATTGGTAAATTGATATGATGGCACTTTCTCAAAAATGATTTTAAACACTTGATTCTCTCAAACTGTAGTTTCTTTAAATACTGTACACTCTTAACAAACTACAGTAGAAGCTTGCCTTAAAACTACCTAATTTAAAAATCTCTTGTTCAAAAATTTATTTATAGTCTCCCATTTAGCTACAATAAATTTCAAAGTGACAATGTAAATTGTTTATGCAGGTAACCTATGGGACCATTACATATATTAATTATGATGATACATCTTCAAATTATTGTATCATCTGAAGATACACTTACTGAACATTTATTTATTCTATGTAAAATATTTGATAATTTTCCCCATAAAAATTTTCAAAAGATGTTAACATTTTTATAAATCAAATACGTACTTATATTATAACCTTTGGGACAATGGCACTTACATGGTAAGATCAGAATACTAACCATCTGTACTGCAAAATTGAGTTGAATGGACGTAAAGGCTAAAACAAACAAGTAGCAGATTAAATTCTTCAGAAAACTTGAAGCACTTACTTAGTAACTTTGAAGACTCTGAGGAGTCTGACACAACGGAGCACAGAGACTCCGAGGGGCGGCATGATCTCGGTGGAAGTGAGCACCACCTCGGTTATACTACTGATAACCACAAAGCAATCAAAACGATTGAACAACGATACAAAGTAGCCCTGAAAAGTCAAAGAACAGGACATTTTATAACATCAATTACCTATAATTTGTTACAAGTTAATTACAAATAAAAAATACATTTGGGAATGTTATGGGATGCATTTCACTTTATAACATGGGTTCTATTGGAAATTAATATCCACTTAACATACACCTACCTAACGAACAGGTTTTCAGGAAGCATCATGTATGTTAATCGGACACTGATTGTTTTTCAAAACTGAAATATGTAGACACTCCCGGGTTATGGATGACTCAAGTTACAGATTTATGACTTTATGGATACTCTCCCCCAAGTTCTTTTTCGGGTTGTGAATGAGTATCTGTTGTTACGGACGTCTAGTAGTGAGGTGTAGTGCAGAAGACTCGCAAAATAGTTGTGAGGCGGCTGGGAGAGGAGTCCCATAAGGCGACTTTTTGCACTCAAGACACATTATAAGATCCCTATAGCGTGCATCCACTACACAATATTGATTTTTGTTCATAAATCGCCCTTAATTGTGTTGCAAAATGACTGGAAAACACCCACCTGATAGCATGAGTGCAGGACCTACTTGTAAACATAAAGCAATAGATCTATAGCAGAGAATAAAAGTAAATAAGCAAGATGAAGGAGGAAAAAATATCACCGCAGTCTCATGTGAACTAAGTCACACTACCTCAACCGTACACATGATTGTAAAGGACAGGGCTCGTTTAAAGGAAGATGTGAAGGGTTTGGTGCCTTTAAAATTTACTGACAGCAAAGCAATAATCACGTCTTATTTGTGAGATGGCAAACTTATTTTGTGTGGATGAGCAAATCAGCACCAGTGTTTAAGTTAAATGAATTACTATAAGTACACTAGTCTTGTAGTTACTTAACTGTACATGTGTAATTATAATTCCCTCCTATGCTTCTATTGCTACTCTTAATTAATAAAAAACATATTGTATCATGTAGGTACAGTATAGTAATTGTATATACAGTACATGATGTGTACTGTACTATGTGTGTGTTCAATTATTGCCTATAGACAGGTCACTTCTGGTTTACGGAAAATTCGATTCATGGATAGCCTCTAGGAATGGAATGGAACCTATCCCTAACCCAGGGAGTGTCTTTCATAAATAGAAATAAAGGTGCAATCATTTATTCCCATAAAATTGGAAAATCACTTATCATAAATTAAGGTACACATGTAACTCATCATCATCTTCAATAAGAAGTACAGTACTGTACTTTCATTACACTTAAAAGCTTTCCATACACACAGTAATATATGAAAGTACATATATCATTCTACCCCTCCAAAATTTCAACATTTCTGAGATTTAACATCATCATAAATTTAATGATGCCAAACTCGTTCAATATTTTCCTGATGTGGGTCATTGACCTGTGCCCTGGTGGGCTAATCCAGTAAATAAAATAAAAAATAAAAAAATATAAATAATGAAGCTCTGGGTATATATAGAGTTCTCAGAAGAATGCACAGGTACATTTACAAATAAACTCTCAAAGCTCAATATTCATAAAAGCCCTGGCCCTATTGGTGTGCATCACAGGTTGTTAAGAGTGTAATAAGCTCTCATTTTATGGCCATTTTCCATGCTCGTCTGTCTTACTAAAAGCATGTTCAGTAACTATTGTATATATAATCCGACTCAGTTTTTTAGCCAACAGTTCACAAACTTTACTTGAGCTGACAACGTGATAAAATGACCATTCACTCTGATGCCTTAGATAATTTGGGGTATATTAACCTAATGTAATACAGGTGTAATAGATTAATTAATATAATTTACCTGAAGGTTTGTCAAATTTGTATTAATTTTGCAATATTCATTTAAAAAAGTTCTATGTAGAGTTTGAGAGAAAAAAACACTCCTGAAGAACACTAGTTCATATAAGAAAAAATAACATACATAATACAATTGTATGTTACGTGCTAAAAATTTAATGAAACACAATAAATAATAAGAAGAAAAGCATGACTGTTACTTACTTGGAAGCCTAAACTGTACATTTTTAACAACATTTCACAAGTAAACAGCACCACGAAGAAAAGATTTGTATAATCTGAAAGATAAAAAATACCTGTCATTACATACATAATACTGTCACCAAAATATATTTAATACAGTGTAGCATCTTCCTATATACTGTACATTTATCTTGAGGAAAAAAACATAAAATTATATAATTACAGTATGACATCCCAGTTTACATCCTAGGAGGAGGATATAAGTGACCTGTAAGACCACTTGCCACAGCCCTCCCTGGCAGAAAAAACCTAACATTTAACAGGAATATGAATGTGTTTCTCGGAGGGAAGAAGGAACCAACATGCCAGCAGACTCACCCATGAGGAGGAATGCTACATCAAGGCCAACCTAATATATAAGCTACTAACCCTCTTTTGCTATGGTGGTCATTAAGTAAATTAGGTAACCATTTACATTATCAATCATCTGTTTAACTAACCATCTGCTGGCCTACTGTGAAAATTTGACCAGAATCTTTTTAGAAGCAGTGAAACAAAGACTTGATCCACTTCTGGAGATGGCTGACATTGTACCAACATCCTTCTTTGAGCCTCGATTTAAGTTGGATTGGTTGCCATCTCAAAAAAAAAAAAGAACAAGTCCCTTACTCCTTACTGAGGCTCATAGCTGCTTATCATTCTTGAGGTTTTGGTCAACCTTAAGTGGAATTAAACCTAAGTTTTTATGAAACTTTAGCTCATCTATTATGCACTAATAATAAAAATCAGAAAAAACAAAGGAAATATTACCTTAGAAGTACAAGTTAAAGTGTTATATAGACTGCAGTGAGGCACTGGTGCCACATCATTTGAATGTGAGTTTGATCTCCATGAATCTTAAGTGAGATTAATTAATGTATCAAGAATGAACACAAAATACATGCAATACCAATGCAACTGTATCAAAATTAAGTGTACGTATAGGTACATATTATCCAGTATATGTTTAGGTGTATAATAGGTAGAATACATATGAACCATAGGTGTCTGAGGATACACGGAGTTTTGGAAATTAGCATAAATTTTCACTTAGCACACGTACCTCAGGAATGTATCTTCTGCAGTATGTGGGTCCCCCCATCTTTACTAGCCTTTTCAGTTAGTTTTCATACAAATTAGTTTTCATCTGACCACAATTTAAAAAGGCACAGTAGCTTTTTCATAATGACACTTCCCCCATTACCACAGGCAATTCTAACCAACATATACAGTACTTCCTTCCTCCCCCAAAGTTTTGCCCATTTAACATTGCAGTCAACATTTACTGCATCATTCTCTCTATAATCCTAAAAATTATCACTTACATCCTCTCCTCAAGTCCCAAACAAATGTGCCTTTACTGACACACTCTCCCTACTTCCAAGCTAAGTTTTACCAATGAACATATTATTTTTTTTTTACTATTAACCACCATTCATTATATCTACCTATCTCGTGACAATCTTCAACCTACGTACCTTGGAACTGGCTAAGCCAGTCAGGTTGGCGGTAGTGTTCACTGGCCAAGACTGCGGTGTTAAGGAAGACAAGGACAATTATGAGCCAGTAAAAAGCTTGTGACTTGACCGCCTTACGACATGCCCGTCTCGCTCTTCGATTAATTCTGCCGGAATAAGACTATCATTATCATCAAGTATGAAGGCATATAAAGGTACAGAATATTTCAACAGAATTAAACAAGTTCCCAGTCATAGTATTATGAATTAACTACATTATGAAATTTAGCTGTATTAATGTACAGGTATCCCTCATTTAGCATAAATTTAGTTAACATTAATTTTGTTTTGTGATAAAATAAATTTGATACCTTTTATCCCTTAATGTTACAAGGTCAAACTTCAGTATATCAGTAGCTTGACTCACTGGGAAGGGGCAAAAACTGGGGATGAGGTGGCCTGTGAGATGGCAAATTGCCATTATTACATGTAAAAAACCTATAAAGTTGAGAAAAAAATCATTACAATACTCTAATGTGGCTTAAAAATAAGAAAAATTAAGAGCACGAGTGTGTGAAGTGAATGTAAGTGTGGAGGCCGTGACCCAGTGGGCTGTAACCTATGACTGCATTGCTGACTCGCCACCCAGGTGCGCTCCCTCTCCCCAGTGTGATGTCAAGACACACACACAGCACAGTGTTAGGTGTTCATGCACACAACCCCATAGTTAAACGAGGGATACTTGGAGTTGTTATGTATCATTAACTTTATTTGACCAGCTACTTGAACATATCCTACAACAGTTCATTTCTGAAATCCTTTGCAAATTAATTGGTTTCACATGTTAAAATAAACTTCCATGAATATGCACTGCTTTTAAAAATATGATTATAATTTCTGCATTCTCTCTCCTTATAAAGTGAATTGTGATATTTATTCATCAAAGCTAAAAAGTGACCAAGTAAATACAATGAATACTTGCTGAGTTTTAAGACTTACTGCACTGTATGATATGCAATTAAAAAAAATCAAAATAATTTAAAATATAGTTTCTAAAAAAGTAGTTTCACTCATTAAATTACTGGAACTGGTAATTACACTACTGTATACCCTGAAAGAGTTTCTCATAATTTGAAAATTCTTTCTCTTTTTAAATGTTCAAAACCATTTCTGACATTCAAAAATTTCCACAAAAGGGGGTTCAAGTAGAGTTTATTAAGTATAAAAGACCGAGAACTTGAATAATTTTAGTACACGTAAGAAATAGGCAGTGGTTCAAGTCTATGAAGGGTTGTTTATTATAAAATATAACTACCACGCTTAATTCTTCCCAGTGTTCTAATACAACATACAGTGTACAAATAAGAGAAAACTTTACATCAATGAACAGTAAATCAACACCCTACAATATATATATATAGTATATACAATGTACACCAGGATATCAGTAAATCCAATTACAAATATGAATAAATCCATTGAAATTTGGGTTGCAACAAGTAGATAAATAAGAAATATAATTCAAATTACATATGTATACAGTAAGATGTATATTTTAATTCAATATATTAAAACAATTATCACAAACATCCATCTGAAAAATAAATGTAATAAAGATATGAATTTTCAAAATCAAAACACACTGAGAAAATTTCCAAACTAGGTATAAGGTAGTAATCCTGAGCATGCATATCTGTTAAAAAACACACGCACAAAAAAAAACACTTAAAACACAAAATACGGCATTCTGGTATATAAATGTGTGATGAGCCATAAGTCAGTGTTTCCAATAAAGAGCTCTCATCACTAGGAACATTCATGGTACTACCCTATTGGTCAATGGCCAATCAGACAATCACCAGGAATTATTCAATAGTTGTTGGAACTATTTTTAGTCAATATTGGACATTGTAAGGAGTTGATTCTACTTGTTAGATATAAGTTAAAACAGTCATTTATCAACTCTGTGATACTAATGATGTTTCAATTAAAATGGAAAACACAAACAGGAACTTTCAATACTCCAAACTGCTGTTATTCCTCAAGTACATAAGGTACAGTACAACCAGAACAGTCATTATCAAACACACAGTTCTCTGGTTCCAATAAAGTATTTTTGCATCATGTTTTTACTATTACAAAATAGTTAAAAATAATGCATAAATACTACCAGATAATATCCTGCACAGTACACACTAAAGTTTTATATGAAATATGTATGTTTGAGGAACACCTGATGGAGACTGAAGCTTGCTGTGCCTCACTCCTCCTGTCTGGGAGTGAATATGCACACTATAGTGAGATTCAGGTTGACATTTAGGAAAAAAAACATATGGTTCCATATTTTACTAACTAAATATATACTATATACTGACATCCAATACTGTACTGTACAGTACAGTATAGCACGTACTTGTATTCTCCCAATATTATTACATAATTCAGAAAATTTTTGTGCAAACCAGCAACTAAAAGTTTTAGTGTAATATTCATCACTTTAATTAGCATCTCATTCCATCCAAGACACTACTACAAGTCCCAAATCTCACTTTTAAGGAATAATAAACAGAAAAAATATCATTCTTGGTGCACTTATATTTCCACAATCACTAGAGTTAGTACTCAAGACAGTCATGTGGGTACAGTATAACTAATGTATGATGTTCCAGAGTCAGCCTTGGTAACCCTGCTGGAACAAGAAACTTTCCTTATGTATTTATAACCTCGTACAATACAGTATTATATCCAGTACTGTATTGTGTTTGTCTTGCCAATTTAGTTATAACTTTTCAAATCAATAGTAAAATAAGGGTTTAAATTATCTTTGCATATAACTATGCACTACAGCATATTTAAATACACAAATAAATATAGAGAATCTACTTCCATTATTTACTACTTATTTTGTCATAGCGTATTTCACAATATAACAAAATAGGGTAATAAGTGGGTCTAAAATGATAACAACAGCTGTTTAAGTGGGAACTGAAAAAAAAAAGCTGAAGAGAGTATTTTAAAAACTGGTTCAATGCAACAATGAGTGAGAGGTGGAGTTATCCAGTCTGAAAGATTGAAGAACGAAAGAAAAAACTAATATAGACACAAAAGTGAAAAAGGCTGTAAGCAAGTTAAGATATTGTAAAGCACAAGAGTAGATAGAACCTGTTCAAATGTAATGAATGGGATATGGAAAAGTAATTATGATATACGAGAATAACGCATAAATAAATTATGAGTGATAAGAGCATGTACGTATAATCCCAATTTATAAAGGGAAAGGTAAAAAGATTTTATTTATTTTCTAATTGACACCCTCTGCCAGGCAGCCTTCATAATACTGGGTGACTCACAAGGGACCTTGAGTCCTCAGACAGGACCTCTCATCATCATCCAGGGTGAGTCTGTTAATCCCTTTGGATAGACCAATTATGCTCCTCTTCCTTCTGTGTCAATAGTCACTTAAGAGGGGGGACTTGACACAGCCATTGTTCTGAGGAACTGAAGGTCTATTTAGGGTCATGACTATCCAACTAAGTACTTGTTTGCCAAAACAATAGGCTCCATTATCAATAAACCTGAGTGAGGCTTACTTAAACAGGTCTGTGTGAACCTGGGTCTAGTTGACTGCTCTTTTTCAGTTCTAGTCTGGGAGGACAGTCTCGGCTGATCAACTCTCCCAAATGAGCTGTTCTTCTAAGAGAAAACTAAGTGTTTAATGCACGAGGCACTCCAGGGATGTGTTAACAAAGTTTACAGTACAGAGGTAATGTGTATGATTGTTATTATTACGCTAAGGTGCTCCTGCTTTTAAATCTGGCATTTTGTAAGAATTTTTATGTTCCATTAGCCCAGCTGAGTTTGTACTGGCAAACCAGAAGAGGATTGACTGCAGTAACAGTATTTGTCACCATTGTGTTTATAAATATTTACCCCAGTCCACATTTCATGTGGTATTAAAGTGTAAAGTCCAAAGCTTGCTCCAAGTAGCTTATTGCTGGATGAGCCAGCTCATGTACCAGGTATACAAGATACGTAGCCATAACCAACAAATGTTTGAAATAAACATATTTGGGTTTACACAGACCTGCACATTCTAGTCATATTCTCTGTTTTAATTCCTCTGATATTTTAAAGTGTATACAGAAGAATTCATGCTTTATCAACTGTAATGCTTCAGAAGGCTATCAGTAGCTAAAGATAGATTGGGCATGTCAGTGATTGCATTTTTGACTGAGGTGAACATTGAAAACTTCCTCCAATCAGTGAATCTGAGGTATCCCCAACCAATTGCATTACCAAAATAAACAAAATACAGTAATATGATTGGTAGCTCCTGTTCTCTTTTACCACAAGGGGTAAAAGACTTTGTCTAGGCATCAAAAATGCCTCTGGGCTGGAATATAAATGGTCATCTCTCAATGGGTTATTATTTTATTTATTTATTGAGTAGCACCTTCTTCCTCATAGTTTTATCTGACTGAGGATTATGAGGGCTGCCTGTTGGACAGTGACAGCTAAGAATTAAAGATTGATCCTAAAATCCCCTTTTCCAATAGAACCTGAAGCCAAGTGGCTAAGAAACCCTCCCACCCCCTCTTGGTTTCATGATTAGCTAGCAGGAACTCAAGTGGGAGCAACTAACTGGACCCAGTTCACTCAGATTATTTTCAGGATGAGTCAAATTCACTTTGGTTTACAGATGGCAGAGCCTAGTGCCATGGTGGATGAGTACTCAGTTGAGTAGTCATGGCCCTACATAGACCTTCACTTTCTCAGAATAACTGCAGTGTCATGTTCCCCTCATTAAAGGTTGATGGCACAGAAGGGAAGGAGGGGTAATAGGAATTATCCAAAGGAATTAACAGACTCACCCTGGTTGACGCTGGGAGGTCCAGTCTGAAGACTCAAGTACTTCCACAAGTTGCCTAGTATTACGTGGGTGCCTGGCTTCAGGTTCTGCTAGAAAAGGTGATTTCAGGATCAATACTCTTAATTTTTTCTTGCAGGGAGACTGAAGTCAAAAGCAAGCATTGACACAAATTTCATTCACTGCAATTCTTAGCGCTTTAAGTGAAATGTTTTCCTATAATACAGCACTTCCCTCCCACAACAAGGCCCCAAGAAATATACTGTATTTCCTTTATATCTGTCATTTCACACACCCTATTAACATGCTCTTCCCACCTCAGTTCCAACTACATTTTTCTTGCCATTCTTCCTTCTTTTTCTTCATATTCTCCTCTCCCTCCTACCCACCACTTCTGAACTATAATCTTTATTATAAAGGCTATGGGAATAGCCTAGGCATTATATGGACTCTATACAGTATCTCTGATATTGCTCCCTTAATCAAACTGATTATGGGAACTGTACCATAATAATGCAGTAATTATCGCACCAAAACATATCTGAATCTGTCAGTTTCACAAAGATCCACTATAAGATTTGAGTGAATCCAAAATTATGATAGACTAAGTACCATAAGTTGGGGATACATTCTTAGGGTTATTTTTCATGAAATTTTTTTCACATAAATGGTACGGTGCTATTACTTAAAAAAAAAGTCCATCAAATTCCTTATAAAAGAGTTCAAAGTTCTATCTATTGTAAAATTCCATAATTTATGCATAATTACTTTTTGTTATTAATGTAAAAAGCACACTTACACAAGTGCATACTAAGTGTGCTTAAATCATATGATGAACAATACTGTATGTACAAATGTATCCTACTTGCCAGTGCATAAGATGTGTTTGTCTCCTTAAAAATTACTCCATCTGTCTTACACACCAAAGGTTTAAGGTTAAGAACTGTGACAGCTAGTTGGCTCCATGATACTAAAGGTCATCCCAATCATGCTACCATGAACTAGTCAAAACTTATAACCCTTAGCCTACCACGGTAGGATTTTACGATCACCCACAAAATTTGAGTTTATCAAGAAATACTTAAATACACAAGAGCTTTTATTGCATATGAAATCACAGTAGAAAAAGGCTCATATGCTTGAAAAAATATATCATTATTACAGTATACTGCACAGTACAGATAACCACAATGGAAAAAAAATAATTTGAGCCAATTTTTGTTATGATTATTCATATCTTCTTCAGGGGCTACAATACACCATCAAGAAGAATAATCATGACAGTGCTTAGAATTATTCCAAGTGGTTAAGTGTGTGTGGTAAAATCTTTGTTTGGATGAAATAACAATGTCTTGTATGCAGATTCCTAAACTGAAAATCTCTGAGTATTACAGCCAATCAAAATACATGAGTAAATTGTTAAAATAAAAACATTATGAGCAGTACACATGAAGGAGAGCAAACAGCAATGTCTAATATACATATAAATATTTAGTGTACAATACTGTATATGAAAGTTTTGTAAAATACAAAAACAACTTTGGTACCACAAAAACAGCATCTATATGAAATAAGACAAGATAAGTAATGAGGAAATCTTCTGTATGTAATGAAGATATTTCATGTGTCAGTATGTAAAATTATTGATAAGTCTGTTTATACTGAACAGTTTGAGCATCAGCACACAAGCAAACATGGTGTGTCAATTAACAATACTGTGTGTGTGAGATATATATATATATATATATATATATATATATATATATATATATATATATATATATATATATATATTATATGTGTGTGTGTGTGTATGTGTGCCTATGTGTGTGTGTATGTGTGCCTTTGTCTGCACATGTGACAATGCACATATGTCTTGCATGTGTGTGGTAGAGGGTCATGCTATGGTAGGGGCACAATGGTTTACCCTCTAAACGGTACACACCCTATTGTCCCTTTCACGAAGCTATATAGGAGAGACAAAAATACTCTGTTAATGACTACACAGTCACACCTAACATTAAGAAAAACACATTAACTGATAAATAACAAAATAATAATTACTGGTATACAAATGACAATACTGTATTAGAAGTTCTTTCCTCTTAATTTGAAGACTGTGATCTTTAATTACTGTACAAACATTTCTTATTCCTTTTTGTAGTTGTCCCCCCAAAACCATTGATTATTCATAAAATGCAACCTCCATAACAGTTGGGCAACAAATTAAAAGCAGTAGTTCAGTCATAGCAAGTACAGTACATAAGTTTGTGTTACTGATTACAATAAACAACAAAGTATCCAAGCACCCAAGAACCTGGGGATGTCCAGATAGAAAAAAAAACCTAGATAGCAAATGTTTTCCAGGTACTATAGTAGTATTTTCATGCTAACCTGGCCCGTAAGCCATGCCCCACTTCCATAAAAATTGCCAATTGGTTTGTATAAAATGTTCATGTAGCTGTCCATTTATTCAAATTAAATACACTAAGTTCACAATTGATAAGCAAACCTGTTATTCTCGAAAATAATGTTAAATAACTGGACTATCAAAATACAAATGATTTCAAAGCATTAGCACTTCAGAGAGGATGTTGGAAATGTTTTAATATTTATCATAAAAAGTTGAAGTCAAAGATGAAATTAACTTTCAAATGAAGTCTTTGACTCTTTTCATTATTTCTTTGTTTTGTACCAAACATAAACAAATGATACCAAACATATAGCACAGTAGGTAATGTACTACAGTTTGTATGGCTGGATATATCCCAAATCATTTATATAACAGATAAAACTCTACACAAATAGGCGGTCTGGGGGGAGGTAAAACGCTCGGGGCAACTCACAATCTGAAATACCAACTGAACCAAAACTGCTATACATTGTGGTGTTCATTTCCAAGCACTGGACCCAGGTGGACAGCATGTATTCAGAGAGATGTAACCCCTCTCCTGGTCTTTACATATTCATAGGAGTTGTACAGTAGTACACTACATTACTAGTTAGATGGAGATGTTTTCAACAAGTGATTAACTGAGCACACACGAGACATCCGAGGTAGCTGCCTGGGTTTATATTTAGATCTTCTGTAATAATAACCCCTTTGAAAAAGTCTTTTTAAATCAAAGAGAATTTTCAAGTTTTGTAAAATATTTCCTCTTTCCCAAACCCTTCGTGTCTAGAGAAATGACACCTGTAGGTAATAATAATTGTAAGGGTAAGCAAAGTTCTAGATAATCTGCACTCCTAGATATGATTAAGTGTTGTACAACTGAGATTACTAAGGATAAAGTACTGAATAATCAAGACACTGGGTAATTAATATTCTAAACTGGCTAATGCCATTGTCCTTGCACCTTGCGAGTCAAGAGTGGTTGCAAGTCATCAGCTTACAGTAAAATGCACTTGAGGAAAGAACTTCTACAAAATCTAAAACTAAAAGTTCATCCTACATAAATTATTTCTTTAACTTGGGTGTTTAGCTCTAATGAAAAATCAATAATCAATGCTTGTAACTAAAAAAACAAAACATTAAAAACAGAACTGGCATCACTTAGACAAGGGTTGAGGAGTAAATTACTATGAAGAAAGTATTATATTTAAATAGGTTTACAGCTCATTTCTCTGATGAGTTGAGTTGCAGGTGTTTAGCATCTCATACCTTTCATCAGATAATAAAATTGTTAAATGAAAAAGAATGATTTTATATATGGTGTCAGGATCATTTGAACTTCAGGGATTTTTATAGAGGAAGAGGATCTTCCTTTATAGGATTTTTAACATTTAACTTTAATATCTGCTGTAATGCTAGCACGATAAAATCTTTACCTAACTTCTTAATAGTCAAAATAATATCTTGCTGACTATAATACAGTCATTGCCACTTTAATGAATTACTGCTGATCCTGCATTAAATTGTTCAGCTTATTTACACATTAACCTACCAACAAGTTAAACTACATAAGAACACATAAACAATCCCCGGCAAAATATAGTGTGATTATATACAATTCATCATGCAAACGTACCGGTCAAATCCCTTTTTCTTTTTCTGCCACCATGATGGTTGCTGAGCTTCATCGTTTTCATCACCTTTGTCAGGATCAACTTCTACAGCTTTGGCTGTAAAGAAAATGCGTTATGAGCAGCCCCACATCAACACTGAAGAATTTTTTATTCTAAAGCCTGAAATTAAAGAAGGTACTGTAATGGGGGAGGATTTCTTGATACTGTATACATAATCATTTTTCTAATCTGTACATACACTGGGAATCTAAATAAAACTATGAAATATCTGGGATATATACACATAATCAAAGGGAAACTCAAACAGGACTCGTGATATCTACATCTACAGAGATATTTTTGTACCTACTCATATTCCATTGTATTAACATCATGTAATTATTCACAGCAACATGAAAGTAGTTTGAACACCTTACTCGGTAAACAGCGAACTTCTACTGCAAGGACACAAATGACATCATAAATAGTATGCAAGAATAAAATAAAAAGGAGGTATAGAAGGGTGGACACATGCATATCATTCCTGGAAGGCTTGCAGGACAGGTGTACACAATGACTTGTTTGAGACCAAACAGTGGCTCACAAATACCTCCATAATCATGGCATCAAATTAGCTCAATGCTGCAGAAGCAACCTTGGCTTAAACAAGCTTCAGTTGTCATATGAAGGCATCATGCAATCATATTGGAGGGATACAAGACAAGAAAAGCTGATGATGGTGAAACAGATCAGTGCTTGTGATGCCAACAGGCTTAGTAACACTCACAATGAGACACTGTGGATAACACTGATACAGAAATTAAAAAGCAGAAGTAACGGTGCAAGATACAATAGTGATTCTTACTGTATTGGTAAGGGTGTTGTGTTTTGTAGAGATGAGCCAACTTATAATAAAACTATAGTTGCTAGTTATGTCTGCAACTATAGTCAATAGCCACAATGAAGGTGGAATATCTAAAGACAGTTACTGAAAGCCAGTTCTAAGCTGACAGTGTAAGTTGAGAAAAAAAAAATTGACAAATAAATACAAGTATAAAGAAAAATGAGAACACATTAAGAGAATAATATAAAAAAAAATAATGAAACCTTAGTTACTGATACTGTGAGATATGATGTGGTAACAGTGGAAGGATAATGACAACTATAAGAACTGTGATACAATGAGTGAAGTGATGATAATGAGCTGTGAGGCTTATGGCATTTTCATTGTTATCAAAGAATAATGCAGAAGTTTACTAGAAAGACTTACAATGATATATGTACAGTATTACTAGGCATTAAAAATGTGGTGTATCTATGAAATGATAATGGTACATGAAGGAACTGTATTGAGGTGATGGTAAAATGAAGGGATTGTGATGAAATGGTGGTGAAATTTAATTAGTTTATGATGGTCTTTGGATGAGGTGAAAGTAAAATAATTATCATAAGAGGGAATGAGGTTGTAATATGGTGATGGTACACACATAATAATAAATTAGGGTAAGTGACCATGGAAAAGAGAATAAAGTAAAGAAATTATGGTGAATAGATGATGATAAACAAGAGTCATTGTCGTAAAGTAATAGTAGAAGATATGACGATGAATGATGCTGGGTATTGAGACTTACAGTGAGAGAATAATGAAATGCTATTAGTAAAAGAGAGAGACTTGTAATGACCTAATGGATGTATAATAATGATGACTCAGGTGAAGAAGCAGTAAGCAAAGTTGAATTGAAATAAAGATAAACTAAAAATGTTGAAAGAAATTGGCTGATGAGCTGATAATGACAAAGGTGATAACACAAGTTTATGGTATATATGAAAGGTATTACCAGTAAAGAAAAAAATGGCGAACCTTTTTGTTTGTTCTAGCTTAAGAGCGTAGCAATGAGAGATCCATATAACAATAATGATATACAGGTAAAGACTTGCCTGTACAACCTACACTTGAGGAGGAAAAGCATAGGATGGGTGTGAGTTGTAGTGGTGGTGGTGTTTTACAGTACTGCACATTTTAACAAACAGTAGAGCAATAGGTTGAGTATGTATCTAGTTGAAGCAGATAGATTATCTGGGATGATATGGTTTGAATTTCATCACAAAATTGAAAATCAAACCCACAGTTGAAATAAAAATGGGAATCTATGGTGGTACTGTACTGTATACAGTAATGGGTGGGTCAATTTTCTTAACAAGTACTTATGAAAATTTCATACTATTCACCTGGAGCAAGTATTTACCCTCCTATTCTGTACATATAAATACAGTGGTATATCAAAACTTCACCTTAATTTTCAGTTCAAAGTACACAAACAATACAAAATATCATATAATTGTTAATTCCCTCACAGCAGTCAAATTATGCACTGCCTACCCACCCTGGTAAGCCCACAGCACATTAGAAACATCCAATATAGCAATTTGTATTACATCCCTCATATACTGTACCATCAACTTTCTATTTATGTTTACTTAAATGATATTCAGTTATTACAAACACTGTAACTGTTACAATACATATGGTGAACTAAGATACATCTTCCTACAGAGAGAGTTAACCCCAACAGTCAACACAATCACAATGGAATTGGGGAGTCAGGTCAGGCTGCGCTCTTCCCTGAGTGAGACAAGTGACATGTGATGTGTCCTTTGGCAAGTGTAACATCAGTAGCCCTGAAATGACTCTGCTTGAAATATACTGAGTGAATGAGTGTGTAAGTATGTTTGTGTATGGTGCCATGTAAGCGAGTGTTTATATGTACAGTATTGTTTTTACTAGAGAAATAAAACACAGTAAAAAGTAGAACAAGTTTAGGGTTTGGGGACACAGATGGTCATTGTGGTTGTACATGTGTGAGACAGCCCTGAGAGTGAGGTATAGTAATATGTTATTGCTCATGTCACAATGCAGAACTGAATTTATTTTATAACATATTACAGTACTGTAGTTTCGATGCACCACACAGTTTATGTCACTCACAACCAAAGGTGAAGTTTCCAGATTTTTTTTCTATTTTTATGCATCATCCACTCCTTGTTTGGGTTGTTGTTCATCATCATGTGTGTAAGAGTTGTGGCTGCCACTAGCAAACAAAATTCCACAAAAAATTCCTTAAAATTCAACTGAATCTTCCTGAATTAAGACAATTAAGACTGTACAGGCATACATTTGAGACACTGCCTATTTGAGAATTATTTCATAACAATGCTCAACGTTTTGGAGAATTACTCAAAAAAAAATCTACAATACGGTTCAAATATTCCAAGTGAGACTACTGTATATAACATACAATGTTCTTGTCTTTTCCCCGAGCCACGCACTCAAGCACGAGAGTGACGTACACCGATTACTACACTGACAGTAGCACCCGCCTCCATCAGTTTTCAATGCTTCCCACAGATGTGTGTCGACTTCACTGTGGTATTAACTCAAGTCAAAAGGCCTGCATGTGATATTGCTATTAATGTGGCTAAGCAATCGGAAAAAAGCATCAGTATGGATGTGAAAATGCAAGTCTTAAGGCGAGCATCAGGTTGATATTGTTTGTAGTATGGGTTTCACTTTGTCAACCATTAGAACTTGTTGGACTCCACATAAGAGTAGGGTTGTGTTAAATGTGACAGCAGACGGTGATCAATCTTAAGCAATTGGTGAGTGTGTAACTTATTGTATTTCTATGTCCATTACATATTTAAAAAATAATAATTATATATATATATATATATATATATATATATATATATATATATATATATATATATATATATATATATATATATATATATATATATATATATATATATATATATATATATATACAGGGTGTCCCATAAGTTTCCATACAACGTATCACCAACGCCATTACAAGCATAACTCCAGCTGTGCTTGAACGTGTTCTTCAGCAGTGGAGGACACGCATTGAAGAGTGTTTTCAACAGAATGGTAGTCATGTAGAGCATATTATATAAATAAAAATGGATTTTCATAAAATTTATTTTTCTATATAAATTTATATATATTCCTATGTATGGTATATATATATATATAATATATAAATATAAATATAAATATAAATATAAATAAATATATATATATATATATATATATATATATATATATATATATATATATATATATATATATATATATATATATATATATATATAATTTTGTTTAACATATGTATCATGTACTGTACACAGTATCATAATCAGTGATATTACTGATGTTAAATGAAGTCCTCATATATCACTTATGGGTAAAAAACAGGACTGTCACAAATGCATCTCTATTGGAACCACATTTTAATGACCTCTTCTAGAGTTGTTTCTTATTTTGTTCCATTTCCCAGGAATACATCTAATGTGCTGTAAGAGTACAAAGGGCCAAAGTTGTGTGACTGGGATCTGAATATTGAATAAATTATTCTTGGGGTACCTTCATAATGAAGGTACCTTAAAAGGGAGAAAGCCGTGGAAATTTTCTGCCAAGCATGGATACACAAACTCCAATCTGCTTTTATTAACACCAACTACAAAAAGATGTTTCAAGGACCAGCAAATCAGATCCAGTCGCACTCATACAGCAAGAACCTGCTCGGCCTTAAGTGTTTCTTCACTTACGACAAATATGACCCAACCCGAATAGATATTGTCATTATATATACTTTAGGTGTTTTTACTAATCTTCAGTACCAAAATACCTGGGTTACATTCTGGCTGTACTGTCCTAATTTGAAACTGGGAAAAAATATCCACAGTAATAATTATGATAATGAAGTGAAAATAAAAATAAAGAAATTTTGGAAAATGGTGGCAGTAAATTATAATGATGGTGAAGATGAAATAAATAATACGAATAGAGAGATATCTGAGAAAACAAATACATGATGGTGAAGCTAAGGTTGAGTACCCTGGTACCTGGTGACTGATGGCAAAGGGTAAAGGTAATGGTGTGAAAAATACCGATAAAATAAAAAGTTAAATATAAGAAGCACTGTAAATCAGGATAAACTTTACAGGGAATCATCAAACAAGGAAATCTTCTTTATTCAAGTTACAACTGCACTAAAAAAATTTCATCATCCAAACTAAAAAAAAAAAATCCATTGGAAATTAATAACCTTTGTGAATTAAGATGAAGGAGAGGCTCAAAAGGTTGTAGTTGGATTGACAGTCAGGAAATAAAATGACCTACCCGGTAATTCACAAACAGAAGCAATCCCGACAAAAAAATCACAAATAAAAATTGTTTGTACATCGGGTAAATCACTGATACGAAAGGGTGAAAATATCTACTGATAATAACAACTTGGAAATGGAAGAATCAGGCCACAAAAGGGGGTGGGGAGACCATATTTTTCATAATGGACAGAAGAGATAGCATACTGTATGCGCCGATGACATTATCATGTAATCAGGGTATCAAACTTGGAAAAATTATTTAGAAAATAGGTTAGGCAAAGATAACTGTGGAAAATGATATTGTGGGTTTCAAACGAAACTCAAAAAACGCGGTAGCAGAAAAGGTGCAGAATGAAGTATATATTAATACAAAGAAGTAAATAAAACTTTGATGAGGAACACGAGGACGCCACACCATGCGAGCGTGCTAGCGACTGAGCCTTAAAGGTGGAAAGTATAAACAGGCCCGCGCTCTTCGCCAACTGACAATCGGCCTCAGGTTTAGGAGGATGGAGAGTTGTGGCCAGAGCGCGAGCCTGGGCGTTCACCTGTTCAGTTCTCTGGCCTCATACATACAGTTACGCATAGAGAAGAGGGGCAAGAAGAGCAGAAGGGAAGTTGGGGAGGCCACCGACATGGCTCCACGGTTGCTCGTTCCCGGCAGTACTAAACGGCGCCCGTCTGAAGATAGGGGGCGAACGCGGTTAACATCACACCGCTTTCTTGGGTGTGGGATCATAAGACGAATCCCATTGTCTATGTTGTTATTGATTTTTTACTGCGTTCACTATTACAAGGGAAATGCTCTAAGTGTAGGCAAAAACTACCAGTTCTTGTGTAACTTGGACTGTAAAGGGATTTCACAGTTTACTTTACATGAGTAAGGGTGCATTCCGTCACAAGGATATTTACTTAGTGAGAATTATGATGTGCGGGGAAGGAAATTATATTCCATAAACGTATCTTTTAAATGTTAATACAACAATACTCTGAATTATAAGAGGTAAGATTTTGCTGATGGTGAATACCTCATCCAACACCGTGCACAACCCTTCCCTAGGTTAGGGAGCCCCGGATTAAAGGTTTCTTGGATTGATTGTTTCACCTTATGTTTGGTCTGTTTACAGCCAAATCTCTATATTAAATTCATTTTCTTATGCATTATTTTATTGCCTTCATTATATTATAATATAATATACTATACTGTACTATACTATATATACATACCCAAGATGGCAAAAAAAAAATATATATATATATATATATATATATATATAAATTCATTTTCTTATGCATTATTTTATTGCCTTCATTATATTATAATATAATATACTATACTGTACTATACTATATATACATACCCAAGATGGCAAAAAAAAAATATATATATATATATATATATATATATATATATATATATATATATATATATATATATATATATATATATATATATATATATATATATATATATATATATATATATATATACAAATGCAAGTAAATCATATGGGTCTGGGATCCAAGGTACCACCAGAAACAAAATACTAAGTTCCCAAAACTTCGTGTAATTCACATCTTCAGGGTGAGTACAGTCTGTACTCACTGAGATAATTATATATATATATATATATATATATATATATATATATATATATATATATATATATATATATACACACATCCTGCTTGCATTAGCAAGAAAAGGTTTGGGGTATTTGAATACGAAGCAATGATAAATAAAAGGAACCTGGATGTCTTGGTTCTGAGCAAAATAATGTATAGTTGAAGGGTAAGGGAGATCACTGTTAAGCACTAATCAAGGGCATAAAGTCAGGTGGTGGTGTTGATAGAAATATGCCGTGAAAATACTGATAATAGATAGTAAACAGAAGAAGGAAATTTATAAGTATATGAGGAGGCATAACTAGAGGAAAGATAATTGTTTATTAGGTCATGTGTTGGTAAATAAAAGGCTGAGATATAAGATGAACACTGCAAGAGGAAGTACATAAGGAGTCTCTCAACAATATTTGGCAAAAGTGAGAAGAATAGCAAATGGAAGAATAAGTCGAAGAGAGATTGAAAGAAGTGTGAAGACGGTTATAAAAGAAATAGTTGAAGGGAGAAAAAGGAAGGATCGAAAATTAAATGCACCAGTTTAAGACTAGACGCCATTAAATGTAAGTTGAAGTGTAGGAGTACAAGACAGTGGGAATAAAAAACAGGAAGAGGGTATGGTGCAATAAGAGGTTAGGTGTGCTGACTGAGGAGGAGAGAAGGTTATACAGTATAAGCTTCAGTTACAAGCAAGGAGCCAAGAATGGGGGTGTACCGAGTCTCAGTGAGGCAAGATACTGTACTATAAGAGAGTGAAGTATGGACTTTGGATGTAAGTGAAAATGAGACCCCATGGGCCAAGCAGATATAACACAAGGCAGATGAAGCCTTTTTTATATACACATGGAGAAAATGTAGTCAGCACTGTACTCAGGCACCTTCACTTACTGAACTATAGAGCAAGATACCCCGTGATAGATAGGTACACTGGAGCTGTGTCCTGGGTGCAAATCAACAACACTAAGACAGAAAGTGAACTGTATCACTCTGCTGCTGTACCCCTTAGGTGAAAAAAGAAAATTACTGTATATGAAGCTTAAATGACTTGACAGAGGAATATTCAGGACAAATAAGAATGAGAGTGGAAGGGGAAGAATCAATGGGCAGACACTAATCCAGTGGTATGGGTATACAGTACATATAGAAAAATATTAGTGAAAGATTGACAAAGGAAGTGTATAATCCAGTGGAAGGTAGGAGAAAGAAACAAAGACCAAGATGGAGATAGAAGAATGGGGCAAAAGTTTTACTAGTAGTCAGGAAGATAGACATCCAGGAAGCAGCAGTGTTCAGAGAATGGTGTCACATGAATTTTGGGGAAGGGCGCACTGCTACTGGGTAATGCTAGCTTATGCGAGGCAACAAGGGTGAACCAAATTTGGAGTTTTCTTATGGAAAAGGAGTACTATTGTAGAGCACATCTCATATAGGAATAAAAATGAGTGAATGAAAATGAATGAACAGAGAAAATGTATGAGTACTTGCTCTTGATTTTGGCGATCCCTGCATGAAGCAGAAAAAGGTCTGAAATGGTAATATACAACAACCCTTGACCCCTTGCAGAATTAGAACCCACCTTTTCAGACAAGTGATTAGAGTGCTACTGAGAGGTAACTAATTCCTTGAGATTACTTAGATGTGTTCTAGATGAAGGCTTGCTGCTAAAATTTAATATATATGATTGCTGTCCTTAATAAAAAATATTGTTTGCTTTTCATTGGGCTTTTTCATGCAGATTACCAGTAAGTTTCTTATTGTTGAGGCTTAGGCCCTTCTACCTTTCTGATTTTACGAAACAAAATAATCAGTGTAAACTTATCATCTAATGACTAAGCCACAATTACATTCTCGGTACTCTACAAATCTTTTGAATATTTGTTTCACAGTTCTCTAAATGCTGCCTCGGAAATCATTATGCACTTCACTATAACTTTATTCATAATTATTAGTTTACAGCTAGTGAAGCACTGTTTCTGAAAATATCCTCTTCCCAGCATATGCTTTTCTAAGTCTAAGGTATATACATAGCTATACATACTTGACATATTTTTATGACAACCCTGAAATGCTTATCACATGTACAAACATTAATTTCATTAAATTTTGTTTAAAAAAGTTGTACACTTATCCTTGTCTAAGTACACATACTGTAGTGCATTTATGATTAAGGTTTTAAAGGACTTACTACACTACCCTGTATTACATCAACATTTCCAATTATCCATATACAGTATAATGGATAATAGAGAAATTAAAAGTGAATTAATGAGATTTGGCTGTAAAAGTACCATTATCAGGTGAATCAGAGGGTAGTATGAGGCCAAAAAAATGTGAGCGTCTACTTAAAAAAAAATAAAAGGCAAGTTGGTTATGCATACAATGTATTATACACAAGAGCTTTTTTGGCACTTTATCTGAAGGGTCGTTTTTATTTATCCTTGAACCTGTGTGTGGGGGGGTGGGGGGGTGGGGGGGAGGGGGTACATACTCACAGTGGCTACAGATAATACATAAAAAATTGGGCATAGAAGGTACAATTTAGAGTAGCAAGGAAAAGATTGTATTGTTTTACACAGAACTTCATTTTAGGCATAACTTTTGTTCTTCTCTTTTTGTTCAGAGTACTTTTGGACATCAAGGATCAAATTGTGTTGATAAAAAACAAATAATCTGTATTTTATATGAATAAAACAAGGGTGTAAAATTAGCTGAGAGAATTCCTCTCTCAATAAAGCCTCTGCTTTAGATCCTAGCTGAGCCAAAGGTACTTTGGGAATGCTCTCTGGAAAATGAACACCGTTTAAAACAATTACATTAACATGCCCGCGCCACGCAAAATGGCCTGTGTGAGGGGGAGGGGAAGGGGTGGGGATGGTGCATAAATTACACTAGATTCATGGAAGAGTGCTTATATAAGTGGTGGAGTAGCAACTCTGAACCTTAACACAAGTGACAGCAAGGGACATTATTCCTCTCTGCAAGACTGGAAAATTAAGCCTTACTGCTGCATGCTGTCAATATAACTAATTATGAATACATCTAGAGAGGCATGAAATCATCACAGTTTAATTCTTCTCTTTAAAAGTTGCATCTTCATCTCAGTGTATATATTAATATACTAAGATGGTCTGATCAACTAATTAAGGTAAGAGAATTACATCACACAGTAACAAACCAAACCTCAAGTAAAAATGTTTCATAATTGGTTTGGCATAATGATTCACTTTCGCCATTCATGCCACAAGATAACCATCATTATATTAGCCTACAAGACATGACCTCTATTATTTAAATATGCAATGGTCTTCTGCAAATCTTTTAACTTCTAAGCTTTATATTTCTCAGTCTTACACATGCACACATCACATATACAGCATGGCTGAGTTTGTTGGTGGAGTGGAAGCTCATGTCTACCAGATGACTGATGAAAAATAGCAGATATCACTCACAGCCCACTGATTACTGATTAAAGTATAATGCATCATTGCCAAAAAAAAAATGCATTCCTCACAAAATAAGATGCATTACTATAACTCAAACAGACACATCTATGTTGAAATTTATGACTTTTCTTTCATCTGGAGTTACTTCATACCTTCCTTTTGTCCACTCTGTTTAATTGTCAATTTCAAGATTTAATAATTGTCAGGGTTAGTAATGCTACATGCTGTAATTATTGGGGAAAATTATTATACAGTATTATTTAATCACTGATATCATTAATCCAGAATATAAATTATCATTAAATTTTAACACAATTACTTATAATACCTAAGAACAACCATTATGAGTCAGGGTTATCACATTAAACATTAAACTTTTTACTTCTCAAAATAAATATAAAATTAAGTCCTCATAATAGTTGATCTTATTTTGACTACTCCTACTCCAGACATCTCTCTGAAATTTTGATTAGTTTTATCAGCTGTAAAATAAGATGGATTAGGAAATTATTCCTTAATAAAATATCCAAGACCGTTGAAGCTTAGAGAAGAAACCTAAAAGAATAAACAACTACCGTACATTACTGCATATGGGCAACTACGTAAGGTACTGATGTGTACCAAGAGACAGATCATAATTATAAAATAGCCATTACTTGCAGGTCTACATTAAATACCCTACTCTAGTCTAATTAAATAGCAACATAAAGAGAGGAGCAGTACTTTCATCACCGTTCTCTAAGATCTACCAAAATGTGATAATTAAGAGGAAAAACGACAAGAAAAGGGAAGATAAGAACTTGGTGATGGTCGCCTACCGTCAGACTCCTTCTTATCATCCTTTTCCTCAAGGTCAAGATCTTCAGCATGGGTAATCCACTCCAGATACCCCCGGAGGTCCTCCTCGATTTGTTGCTTTTCTCTGAGTTTTCTGAAGTCTCCACGGGCTTTAGCTTTCTCTCTTTCCTTTGAGAACTCTCTAGCGGGGACACATGTAGCTAGGGTTAGTGCTTGCTACTGCTATTTAATACTTACTCTCTCTATCTGGGGCAAATATCAACAAAAATAACCTTGATGCTATTCACACTAGTAGTGGCACAAAAATGCAAAGCAACAATGAGTCTCCTTAGCTACATGGGAAAACTGAAAACCAATGTAAACCAGAGCTACTTGTAATGACTTATGATTTATTATTTATAGCTGTTAAGTTCATTAAATGATGCAAATAATTTTTAACTAAGGCACCCATAGTTGTTTTGCATTTTGAACTCGAAGCTACGGGTGAGATGCTGCTGACTAGGGTGAAAATAGACACTAGTGCTTTGGGATAAAAGGAGGTTCCAAGCTCAGCTGGAATCTGCAGCATCAGCCAAAATCTCCATCCTTCCTTAGATGTCTCCACCAGCAGATGATGGGCCCTGTGGTACAATGGTAGTGAGCTACACTACTTTTGGATTAGTGAAGGGTGTTAGCAAGACTCCAGAGGTTCAATGATTCTCTTCCTACCATCTGTTTCCTTCTTGTCATCTCCTTCCATCTCTATATCTTCTGCTGCAGTTATCCATTCCAGATAACCTCTCAAATCCTCCTCAATTTGCTGCTTTTTTCGCAATTTCATGAAGTCTCCTCGTGCCTGAGCTTTTTCTCTTTCTTTGGAGAACTCTCTGTCAGGGGTCAAATGACAGGTTAACTCAGCTCTCAGCAACAGGCCATCATGACCTGTTTTGTTAACTATATTTCCTTTTAGAGTAGGAGAATTAACAAAGTAAAAAAAATAAATGGAAATATACTGATATGATTTACTTGTGATCCCTTATCATATATACTGTACTAACATTATAAATAAACACCTGATAATTTCTGCAATAATAAAATATTTTTGCAAAGAAAATTTTGAAGGAATGACCACGAAAACTCCATTTTATGACCAAGGGGAAAAAAATGGTGTCCTTTGAGATCTATACCACTAAAACTCCCTCTGGCTGACCCTACTTATACCACAAGGCTTAACAAATCTATAAACAGCATTCATTATCCATACAGACTGATCTTTTGTTGCAAACCTTCCATGTCCTTTATTCTATATTCATTCAAGCTAACATTAATTTATCAGTCTCCTTTCTCTACTTATTTTCAGCACTTGCTTGTCTTCACATTAACTGATAATGATTTCCTCACAAACACTCTTCCCACTTCACTCAAAATTATTTGTTACTCTACTTTTGAATCATTTATGAGAGCAGTGTCATCTGATACCACGACCTGACCCACTTCCCAAGATAATCCCACATTATTACTCACTAAACTTACACATCTCTCTACTACTGTTGGTTACTTTCACCTCTCATACTATGTCATTCATTAAAATACAAAACAACCATTGATATCAAACTACTGTACAGTGATATCCCCGTCAGCCGCAATAATTAGTGCAGAATTCTTCCGGGGATGAAAGATTTCCGGGTAATGAGACGACTCTTTCAAACCCAAAAAATTCACATTTCGGCAGAATTTTTCTGGCAAAGGCAAACTTGTCAAGATGGTATTTTACTGGTATTAGATTTTGCAGGTCACTCATTTACGACCCTTAGGTCATAAAAAAAGTATCAAAAAGCTTTAGAGAAAATAGTTACATTGTTCAAGGAAGATCCCTTGGCAAAATGTTTAGCAAGAGTGACTGTACCTTTTACTGTACCCTGTGATCCCTAAGAAAATACAAGTGCATCTTTGATTGACAATTATGATTACTACCAAGAGTCCTATCAACAATACCCATCTGGCTAAATCTGACCAAGGGATCAAGAACCTTTAGAAAAAATAATAATAATAAAATAACTGGATAGAGAAGAGTTGATTGGAAATTTAACATTTTAAGTGGGGCTACTACCCAGGAATTAAAAAACAATACAAAACAAAGAACAATATGGAATATAAATACTACTGTATACTTTTTCAAATATAAAAATGCTAAATGAAAATATGAAATAATTCTAAAGTACATTTTTTCAATCACTTTAGTACCATCAAAGATTTACAGACTAAAAAAATCTAGCATGAAAAAGACTGACACTAATTTACAGACTTTAAACAGTTACCTATAAAGGATCATCACCAGAAGAGTATTAGCTTACCCTGTCTCTCACACAGCTAGAATTGACATTTTAGCTCCTATTCATTTCTGTGACTGTTCCTGCTGCATCACCTCACTTATCAAGCCTCTACATTTATTGTTCCCATTACTATAGTGCAAACAGGGAAAGAGTCCATAAATGATAATGAAGAAGAAAGCCAAAGAATCACTTCCCTAATAAATTAATCAAAAAGATGTATTTCTCTCAGCTCGTGTTTTAAATAATGCTGCTGGATCTCCACTGCCAAAATATATGAAGGATACGTGAAAATAATGACTGATGAGATGACTGATATGTTTATCAATGTTGACAACTTTAAGATTGGTAATGAACTTATTACTTCCTCTTTTTTTTTCTAAAGGATAATTCTTTTCATAGTTTTGTTGTAAAATTTCTTATACCTGAAATTTCCTAATCCAGAATATGTGAGCTTAACATAATAGCATGTGAAACTTTTATTATCAGCAAAACAGGCCAGATTCCATGTTATGAGACTGCACAGAGCAAAAGCAGTATTCTAGATCAGATACTCTCAGTTATCACAGGCTGTACATACTACTTATACTGTACTGTATTATAAAACAATAAAAGCCTGAAGTAAGAACAAATTTAATTACAAATGCTATAAGAGATAAGATGTACTTGTGGAAATGAGGTTTTGGGCAGCGCCATTTTGGTTTATTATTTTGTCTTCTGCTCAATATTGTTCAACTTCGTGAGTAATTTTTTTTTAAATTCCAAGCAAATATTCTGTAGAACCCCTTAAAATTTTACTCCTGCTGTAGTCGGCCAACAGATATGTGTAAACAAGTATACGCGTGTCGGGTCAGTTCACATTGGTGAGCTGCGGAGTGTACACCTATGGTCTACCACACAAGCCTTTTCCACTTGTTTTTCCATCATTGCCCCATGTTTGAGCCATTATGTCTGATAACCCTGGACCAAACACCTCAAATGGAGCCTCTACAAAAGAAGCTGTCAAGAGGCACAAGAGCTTAAACATTCAAGATAATGTTTTAAACTTTAATTGGGGCAAATAAAGGAAAAATGACATTTCCCCTCTCATATTTCATAAAATCTTATACTGCAATTCGCAATGGCTAGAGCCCCTATTATTTTGAATTATGGGGGTCGTAATGTAGTGATATTACCCTGCAACTCAATGTCTCTCTCTGAAATATTGTACTGTACAGGTACTGTAAAATAAAACTACAGGGGTCCCTGATTTACGAACGTCCAACTTACGAACACCCGCCGATACGAATGGGGTTAAACTTGAAATTTACAGCATTTTATTTACCTGATGACTTATTTTTTACTTTCATTTACTGTATTTTGTCATTCTATTTTTATTTTGTCTTAAATTGAGTGATTTTAGATGTATATAAAGACTTAGGCTATGATATAGTGGGATTTTAAACATTGTTTTGTAAGTACGGTATACATATAGCATGTGTTCCGATTTACGTACAAATCTGACTTATGAACGTCCTCAGGAATGGAACCCGTTCGTAACCCGGGACCCCCTGTAATTAAAACTGATAACAGCTATACACTTAAAATAATAGTTATTAAATGGTGAGAAAGATCACCATCACTGATAACTCTCCTTGACACATGGCTGTGGATGATCACTGTTGTTGGTGAATTTACTCGAATGAAAACCATGAAAACACCAAAATACATCAAGTGCAATTCTTGAGGTGGGAATGGGCCATGACTGAGGTAAGGAACAGTTTTTCTTCTACACAAAAGGTCTTCAGAAAAATGTACATTAAAGGCAAGGGATATGATAGGTTCTGAGCTACAGTACAGAGGAGTTTGACTAATAGTTTTTCTAAGATAATTTGATAGGGAGAGATTTTTTTTTTTTTTACATCAAAGAGAGATTATCTGAACCAATGATGGCAATACTGCACCAAAGTTGACAGTTAGTTAAAGGCTGTCAGTAACAATATCCCAAATTATGGAATACTGTACATTCCTATCAAGAACACACAGTCTCAGAAATCATCTTCAATGGATCTTAGATAAATGAAATATTAGAGTATTGCCTCAGATACCCATTAATAATGGTTATAATGGTGATGCATTGGAAAACTGCACGGGCAACTGTAAAAATAAAAGATTTCTCATGCAAATTGAAATTGCCACATGATATTACATTTCATCAATACGTATTTAAAAAAAATTCTTCCCTCCTCTATGTGTCTGAAATAAAATAAAAATTCATGTGATTATTAAAACATTAGCTACCGGGTACATAAAAAAATTTAAATAAATCAGTGCACATCTAAAAAAAAATATATATAAAAAATTTAGAAAGATTTACACACTAGAGAGGATTACAATAGATGTAATTAAAAGCAAAACACAAAATTCTGAAAATATAATGGCAACAAGAAAAAAGTCTAAAAGAACAAAAATAAACTTGACCGCATATGAAATTGGTGTGAAGCTAAAATAAAAAGAGTGCTTTCTACTTTTACTCAAAAATAATTACTGTAAACTAAAAAAAAATCAAGCATTACCATTTCAATACCCCATTTATTCATGTACGTATATTATACACCTTTGGACATTACGCAGATATTTTGATATACTTTTAGTTACCGTATGTATTAGATTAATTGCGAGTATTTCTTACAGTCTAAATATTTAGATTTTCAAATTGTCAACTTGTATTGCAAAAATCGCTATCAATGAGGCTTTAGCATGTTTTATTTAAATCTTTATACCACATGATAATCTCTGTAGGGTTTGTATGAAGATGTTTCCATTTTATGACTGAGGAGAAGCAGCAAGTAAGCAGTAAAATCCATAACACTACTAGTACAGCATAGTATAGTATATCACCTCTTGGAAGGACTCATCTTTACCACCAGGTCTTTATAATATCTAGTGGCAAAAAAATCACCCAGAAAGTTATGGTTTTGTGGCAAATAACTTTCCCACCTAAGTGAACCAATGGTGAAGATTCTATACTATTTGATCTAATGCTTGGTTAAAGACTTGAACTTTAGTAGAATTGCTCACTCAAACCCCTTTAATCACAATCCTGCTTCTTAGTTCCAGCAAACTTACAATCCCATCCAAGGGAAGTGGGAAAATACCAGGGCACTTATTTCTTCCCCTCTGCCATGACAAATTGGATTTCACTCATCACTGCTATATTTGTAACCTATGGTTCATTGTGGGTGACCAATGAGATTCTGAATCAACTAAGAATGGGATGGAAGAGGTCATTTGGATAGAGGGTCAGATGCATCATCCCAATTAGTAGGTAACCACTTTTTAGAACAGCAGGGACTTACCTTATATACAGTACTGTACAGTACTTTGTAAAACCATGGACATGTGCTTCTCATTTATATATCATAAAACAAATCTTTATCTTGGTTCCTCTTTCCAAAATGTATTTAAAAATAATTTATTTCATAATAAATAAAACCATAGAAAAAACTCAATTCCTGTTCTTTGGTCATACAGCAAGGTTAAATATTAAAATAAAAATGTTAGTTAACCTTTGGCCTTCCTTAGGCCTTGACCTACTGTATGACAAACATCCACGTGGAGGTTTGATAAAAATTTTATTTACTTTCTCATTGCTAGAATGTTGTCTACAATTGACATGAGAAGAGTGATGTTGTATGGCAGTGAAATATGGGGAGTTAAGGAGGACAACATACATAAGTTTAAGTGAGTTGACAGTGGTGAGATGGATGTGCAACATGACATTAAGTGATAGGAAACCCTGTTCAGAGCTGATGGGTATTGGAAGTACAGTAGAGTATTGGCAACATTTTGTGCAGAAGTAGGTTGAGATGGTACGGGAATCTGAATAGAAAGGAGGAGTCCAATCAAGTCGAGAGATGCATGAGCCTGAACGTGAAGGGAGAGAGAGCCAAGGGTAGGCCAAGAATGCTACCATGGTAAATGGCTGTTTGACCTTCACTATTAACAGACATTTAAGTGTGGTGCTCTCCTTTTTTTTTAATTGGCAATACATATTCTGGTCATGTTTTGTGAAAATATTTTTGACCAGTGTATGAGTTATACTCTAGACAAGGTTTTGACCTTGACTATTAATCAAGTTACTGTAATTGTATTTGACACTGTATATCATCCTACAGTATTAAGAAACATCATTATAGATAATTTCACTAAAATCAGTAATGTGTTTTCAGAGGTATGTTTTAGACTAATAAATAGATAGATGATGATAAGCAGTTTCTTGGAGCTATGGGTCAACTTAGGATTTTCGATTAGATTGCTGTGCAACCCCCAACTCTAAGCTAAATTTCTTATCTGTCCCTTTTCAACAAAAAATACCACACCCTAACTTCCACCACAAACACCCTTTCCCTGTACACCTCATTTTGTACATTAAACCTCCATAACCTACGAGCTATATTTCTTTTCCATAACATCTTCATAAATTTTTCACTTATGGTAAATCTTCTGTTTCTCATACCAGGACTACCTAGTGGCTTCTGTCATTTCTTCCCTGATATATATGTTTTTCTTCTCTTTCACCTTTAATGCTCTTCCTTACCCTTATCTTAAATTCCTCCTTTCATTACAACTTAAATTGTGACTTTCTACCAACAGCAACAGATCAGGAGTCTGGTGAGACAAAAATGAAAAAAACACTAAAACTCACCCACTGAGGACACCAAGAATAAGGTTCATAACGAAGAAGGCACCAAGAATAATCATAGAAACGAAGAAGATCCACTGCCAACTGTTGCCCATGGCATCCGCAATCTGGAGAATGTAAGAAAAACGATTAATGTGGACGGATGAAAATGTAAAACAGTTCTGAAGTATTAAAGGCAAGGAATTAAGAATTAATCTCATCCTTCTTCTTACAAACAATAGCTGGAAAATGCTCAACTTATGGGCTACATCATGCAGTAGTAGCTACATGACAGTAATAACAGGAGCCAGAATTTTAAGATGTTAATGACACATCCATAAACAAAGTGAGGCACAGCAGCTTTTTACTTCATATTACTGATGCAGGAACACCTTATCTTAACAGGTGATCAGGTCTTTAAATGTGGTGACCTTTAAGAAAAGGTTGGACAAGCAGTGAGCTAATCATGATGCTCTGTTAAATTACAGAGGTCTTATACAGTATATATTTTGTGATATGATTAGTTCACTTGCAACAATACTAATTGTTTCAAAAGAATAACATGAATATTTGGATACACTGTATATATGCTTCATCAAGACCAAAACCAAGTACTTAAAGTATATAGTCAAGGCAGAATGACAGATGGGTGATATAAAAGACTGAGAATAAAAAAGTACAAAAAAGCATAGGGTATAAGAATAGGGAACAAAAGAAACAAAGAACTGTCTTTATTAACTTAACCTCAGTTCATATTCTCCTTTACAGTTACAACTACAGCAGCTACTTACATAATACATCATGTCCGTCCAGCCCTCCATGGTGATGCACTGGAATACTGTCAGCATTGCGAGGCCAAAATTATCAAAGTTTGTGATGCCATAGTTAGGTCCTTCCCAGTCATCTAGGCATACAAAGTACTGACCATCTTTATTGAGGTTTGAGCAGTTAAAACCTGCCGTGCCATTGTCACACGGATGTGGTGACTCCATTCGGCTCCCTGCAAGTAAACTTTGTGGTGACAAATGTTCCTTTGGATATTGACTGCAAAGATCACAGGAAATGGAATAGAAATATTTATGAAGTGAGATCTGTTTATGTATTATACTAAATAGTAAATATAAAAGGTGCCAAAGAAAAATGTTGATGATCTCAATAGTAAGCAAAGCACAAGTAAAAATTATAAATCTCTGTAACCCTCACACAGAGTCACTTCATATTCACATTCTCAATCATACAAGCACCTTACTTTTGGTCATCATGCTAATTATCCACACCTGCATTTTTTTCATTTAATTTCTATAATTTTAACTGGCTCTTCAACTATTGTTACGTGTCAACTTACAAAAGGTACCATTTTAAAATAGTCCCAAAGTGATTTTGCAAAAGAACCAAATACTATATCCTTCAAGTTAATTATCCTCCAAGACCAAGAGTGAAGGATTGAAGTATGAAATCCCACTTTACACGAGGGAAAGAAACAAGTGACACATACGATTAAAAATCCTCTAGCAAACTCATCTATTGCCAGATGTCCTCAGTAAGTTCCCAAGGATACAATACCCCGATGGACAATGTAGGATCTGATGCCCTAATCTTCCACATTTAAATATTTAACTAATAATAAAGGTTCATATACGGTAACTAATGTCCAGACAGTATTGGATAAGGTAGTGCCAGGAAAATATATATCATGGTAATATTGTAAAGCACTGATAATGTATTACAAAAGTTCACCTCCACAAATCATCTTTATTGAATCTCGCTTTCATTCCTTCCTATATTTATCTATTCTTCTTCCCTTTGCTGGAACTTTTCAGTATTTCTTTTTTTACCTCTGCCTCACCTGTTTCATTGTTATAGCATGTGAAGTGAAGTGCACCGGAGAAGAGCTCCAGACCGATGATGGCATAAATGATAATGACAAACATAACAAGAAGAGCAATGTTGAGCAGTGGGACCATAGCCTTCAGGATAGAGTTCAACACCACCTGGAGACCTATAAGAGAATGGTAGTCAGTGGTTGCTTGTGGTGATAGTGAGAATAGTTATGACTGGGATATTGGTAGTGATGATGTTACTCCTAATAGTGATATTAAAGATAATGGTCAATTTCTTTGTGGTCAAACCCTTGAAGAGAACAATACAATAAATTTTTATGTTTGCAGTGAATATCATCACCATTATTTAAGTCAGTTGGACAGACATAAAAGAGAAACAATGCAAAAATGAAAATACTGTACAGTATACAGTAACACTAAATAAAAAATTATCATTAAAACCCATCTAATATCTCGGGAAGACTATCTGGTCCTGTGTAGTACAGTATATTAATATATTTTGAAAATATAATCCTAGTAAAACCTTGAGAAAATATTACAGTGTGTGCCTTAAGCATCAAGCCTCTTAAGACACTGCTATGCAATAAACACCTTAAATAATACTTGGGATAATTTGCTTACAAATATTCATGGTTACCTATGACTCCCTTAGATACCTAAATGAAGTGACTGTTTGACCAACTAAACAGGGGAACAGCTCACAGGTATGTAATTATCTAGTCTTTTACACTAATCAATTGGTCAAAGCCTGTTGATATCTTAAAAACATGCTTCATCAAATTTTATTAGGTGATCTTATTACTGTCCTCTATGATATTTCCTTAATCCTGCTAAAAATATCCATTTAGATGGTCACATATCTGTGAGCTATTCTTCCATCTGGTAGTTAAACAGCAACAACTGAAATTCTATCAGACCCCTTTAACATGTAGGTCAATAATATTTCTAATGAATCTTTGACTTACTTGGGACGCCAGAGACAAGTCTTAGGGGACGCAGGACTCTGAAAGCTCTGAGGGCTTTCACGTCGAACCCTGCCTCCCCACCTTCCCCCTGCATGAGGAAATCCAGCGCCCCACTCACCAACCTGTCAAAAACACAATAATTGGAGACAGACTGTGCATGTAGTAACAATAGCAGTTCATGTGACAATATTGTCTAGAGCAATTGACACAAGCCTATACAGTACAACTGGAGCACAACCAATACTGTCTTGAAGGTAAGGCAACAATATTCCCATCTTCTCCAAATCATGGCAATGCATTATGGTCACAAATTTGTTGGAATACAGTATAACTAATTTGGTTTCATATTTGCAGTAGCACCCTTAAAGTCATTGTCAAGAAGAAACATAACTATCATTAAGGTGGTCACAGAGATAAGTGGACTTTTAATTGGTATAACTTTCAGAAAGTCTGAAAATAAAATGTAGAACAATTACAGTATGAAGCTTAATTATGGTTTGCTTGCCACACATTCATTACCACAGCTCTGATAACTGAAGACACACAATTAGCATTTTTGGTTAGGTTAGTTGGGTTTATTCTATGAAATGAAAATGATATAATATGGAAGTATTTGGTACAGTATAGTACTGTACTTCTGGAAGTTTGCAGCTGCCAGGAGCTTCTGGTAGAATCAGTCACCAAGGTTGGGTTATAGGTGTTCATTAAATGAACCAACCTAACCTACCTTACCTAACCTAAAATAATAGTTATCAGGTATTTTCTTCAATTAAAAGCATTATGAAAGGAAACAACCCAGGTACAGTAAGTCACACAAGTTAAATACTGTACAAGATTACCCAACATGCTAGGGATGTCACAAACTACTTACCCTATTACGACAATGAGGAAATCGAGGGAGTTCCATACGCTTCGTATATAGGCTCCTGGATGGAGCACAAACCCGTACGCTATAATCTTCATAAAGCACTCAAGTGTGAATATCACCATGAAGATGATCTCGATTTGTTCCTACGGAGAAAGAGGAGGTAAACATGTGGCTGTTCAAGGTCTTGGGGAATGGTTTGTGTACAATGAAAACAGAAAACATGAACTCAATTGATGACAAATCAAATAGTCAATACAGTAGATACAATACTTGGGACAAAAGAAAATGTTAAGTGATAAATCCAAAGAGGCCTATATATACTGTATGTTCTTTGGATGATATAAAGTAATAAAAATGATACGACAACGAACAGAACCTAATAGAACCTAACCTAACCTAACCTAACCAGCTAAAATACCTACCTAATGTCACCCAACTTCCTAGCCGAGGGGCAGGCCCTCCACCCTATTAAACAGAGAGCACTTACAGTACTTTGATATCAGGTACTAATAAAAGTAACAGTCTTGAACTGGTCCGAGCACAAACCAACTAAAGCAGCCGACTACACACGTCGATGCAGCAAAGTTTTTGGCTGAATATTTATGGTAAATAATTATTTTTTTCACGTACAAAACATGTATAGACATCATTTTAGTGTCATATAATGAGTTTTTCACCGTGTTTTACCCCACAATATCCCTCATCCTTCACACCCTGCCCACTTCAGGTGATTTATGATCAGATAGAGAACTAAAAAATAATAATAATAAATACAATACTTACAATTAAAGTAAAAAGTTGCTGTATCATTTTTATTACACATGTGGAAAAACTGAACGAAATCGAACAACTATTTTGGTATTATCCATCTGCTCTAGTATTACCATATTCAGTGACCGGATAAAATGCCAACGGACAAAACCCCAGTCTCACATATAAAATATAAAATAAAACACTTTTAAGCTTAGGTTAGGTTAGGTTAGGTTAGGTTAGTGTTGACAAATGACAACCCCGTTGGGGTTTTGTCATGGAACCACCATATTCTGTACTGCGCCTGTGTATGATACATTCAGCATTAAAATACACCCAATATCTCTGAAATAACTTCCTTGCCAAGACATGTTATTAATGCATTACCATTATATTAAAATGAAAACAATAACAATTATACTGTACAGGCCCCGTTGTGGGTCGATGACCTGTGTCCGGGTGGGCTATTTCCCATAAAAAAAAAGAGCCCACATTCTTCCATACACCATTAAGCATACAGAATAACAAGACAGTTTCCTAGATTTTAAATTTTGCTGCACTTCCCTCCAGCACTCACTCTTCATAGCTTCAACAACTTGGACTAACCTCACCTTCCTCATTTCCCACCCATTAGTACGACATTACTGTCATTTAATTAATACTCAACGATTACCTAGACAACAACATACTAACATGAGATAAAACTAACAAGTAAACAAAAACTTCCCTTTAACACCTTCCACTACCCTTAAATCTTCCCTTGTTTATATCTCCCACTTCCCTTTAAACCTTCCACTTAGGTTTAAAGTAGTAAAAAGTTCTGAGAAGTAATTAAAACAAACAAACAGTATATCATCCAATCTTACCACAGTTTATGGCAATCATTTCAGTCAGTCAACCACAACCCGGTAGGTCAAGGGTCACACAACTCGTCTTGTTCGTGTCTGGCAGTTTGAACTACGTCACTGTGTGGTTGGTTACGTTGTGCTCTTACGTGTTAATGTAGGACTAAATATAACTGGAAATTACCTATTTTTGTTTATTTTTTTTTTCACTTTCATAATATGATATATTTTTCTACCCTTCATTCCCAAAGAAATATATTTGTCTCGTATTATGAAATCGAAAAATCTGCCAACTTATATTAAACCTCCCAGTTCTCTTTAAATCTGCCACTTTCCTAAAACCTTCCACTTCCTATTAATCTCCCACTAAATATCAAACTTTCATCTTCACTTTAAACTTTAAAATGCTCCAATCAACATCATTCATCTCCTTACTGAAAGTAAAAGTGGGTCCCCAAGGCAGGACTGCCTCTGGGACAGTGTGAATACGTGTAACAAAGTATGCTAAGCCTTCTATGTACTGTACTGTACACTCGCCACAAGAAATCTGAACATTGCTCTCTGAGAAAGTTTTATTACAAATTAAATTAATTCTTTTCACCTGTAATTACCATGAAGACGAGCAACATATACCATAACGAAATATTGAATCACTTCTCGAACAGGCATACCAACCATTCTGAGATGACTCCAACCATAGTGCTCATTCTGAAATCTGTTGAACCCAGCTGTTAAATAACTGTTTGTCGTGAGTGTACAAGGAGGAAGCGTATCTGCACTGCACTCGACCCTCCTTCACTTCCCCAACTGTAAAATTAGGAACCCATTCACAGCTGAGTAAACTGGAAATGGTCCAAGAGAGAACTTTCCAACAACCCCTAGGACAAGAGTTGAGCACCCTATCCGCTCGGTAGCCAAGTGTTTAAACTGCTTCTCTCCCCATAGCATCTACCAACCTTTTCACCCCTAGCAGAGGGAACGAGGAGAGATCCAACTATTTTTAGTGTTGATTTATAATGACACCTCGGGATCAAAATCCTTTGTTTTCATCGTCTCCTTGGTGACGGTGGAGGGTTGGGTGAGGGGGCGGGGGCACAAGAAACGAGAGAGGAAGTAAGGAGGGGGAGAAGGATAATGGGGAACAATACGAGGTTATGGGATCATGGTAATGGTGTTTGAGGGTGTTGAGGTGTAGATGTAGGATTTTGTTGATACTACTGTATTACCATTTGTATGGAAGAGATCGAAAATCACACACACACACACACACACACACACACACACACACACACACACACACACACACACACACACACACACACACACACACACCTCATCTGCAAATTTGGTAAGAAGCTTCTACACCATCCCCGACACCGGCCCCTACTACCACCTGAGATCCCCTGTCCGAGAATTGCTGTTCGACACCACAACCGCATCCAGCCCATACGTGCACGAACTGATCGCTATAAGAACAGCCCAGTCCCAACCATTGTAAAAATTATCAATAACATGTAATAAATCAGTGTATTCACTCCCAGTAAACACTGCTCCCTACACTGTCACTATGTTGAAATGAACTGTATTTTGAGCTGATCCCCATCTAAGTTACTATATGTCTTATTTGTGTCACTTATGTACTTGTATATTATTTGTAACTCGTAACCCATTCCCCAAATATGTAACTGTATATTTTCAGCCTTCTGGCTGCCAAAGCTCTTTCAATAAACCGTTAATTATTATTATTATTATTCACACACACACACACACACACACACACACACACACACACACACACACACACACACACACACACACACACACACACACACACACACACACACACACACACACAGGTTATATATAAGGTACAATATTACTCCCTGCTATGCTGTAGATATAAGCTCTACATGATATAAATTGTCATGCAGTAGAAGTAGGACACCATACTCGTTTAGAAGTGAGAGAGGCGTGTGTGCTGTAGCTACATTTTAAAATACATGAACTGGTAGAACCTTAAGAAATAAATATCGTAAATTGTTACATCATAGATATTAAATCACTTACAAAGAACAGTTCGTCCTGGAAGAGAAAACTTGACACCTGCCCCCCTCCCCCCCCCTCTCATCCAGTTGTCATCGATTAGTATTTTTATATATTAGAGCCTAGAGGTCCCCTGTGGCGCCACTGCCTAATAGAGCTTGATATTATTATATTAATGGTAGATAATTTGAGTTTATAAACTGTTTAATGTTTACAGCATTTTAGGAGATTTTTTAAATTATTAAGAAAAATCTTTGAACTAGACAATACTTCGTAAACTTCAAAGACATAACATTTCAAAATACCAATGAAACACCATAAGGTTCCAGAGACGGGAGCTGCTGTACTTACTAGTTGTGCGTTTGTGGCGTTGGAGTCTGAGTTTGGGTAGGGCGTGTAGACCGCTAACGCCACGCAGTTGGCGAAGATGGTGAACAAGATGAACCACTCGAACGGTCTGGCAACACTGGTTAAGGAAAACTCTAGAAAACCAGAGGTGGGATTTTAATGATGAACTGTGATCATATAAAAAGGAAAGAGGAAAGTGGGTCACACAGGCACAGCTTAGGGACAGTGTAAACTTTATCCTCTTGAACCACTGATCGGCTACTAAGCCTTGGGTGTGAAAGGTGGCGCTGCACCTGACTGTTTCTCGGTTTCCCCAACTTGTGAACTAAAGTATTCATTTACAGCTGAGTGGACTGGTTGTGTCCCGGGATAGAGAGTGACCCTAACTGACCATCGTCGAATACACAGCCTAATAACAAAGTCTATTGGCTCATTCCTAAGTACTGTTATTCTCTCCCCCTTTTTCTTCTCTCTAACATAAACATTCAATGTGTACAGAGGAGAAGGACCAGAGGATGGGTATAGAGACTCGTTCTTATACACAAAAGGTATATGATGGTGGATATAAAAGGTCGAACCAAAAACAAAAGGAATGAGCTCCAGGTGGTATGCCTATGGAAATGTTAATAATTACCCCCAACAGTTAGTGGCGAGAGAGAGTTAATTAATTAAATTCAATGTCACTGAAACACAAACATACATGAAATATTATCATAATCGAAGGAAAATCTACAAAAAAAAACACACAATGTACTGTACTCGTAGTTCCAGTAGAAGAAAAGCATTTGGATACATTGATGTTAATAAGAGATACAAATTATCACCTCAAAAAACAATGTACCATATTATTCTTTATATATCAACAACAATTACCAATCCACATAACCTGCCGTAGATGGCCTTTTACGGCATTACATTTACTACCCTCTATAATATTTACTAAAAGCTTGATCAAATTTACTTGGTGCAGCGGTCGGCTCTCTCTTTCCTCTCCCACCCCTCATTCGCTCCATCCTGTTTGCCGTCTCAGCTGCGTGGGTAAGGGAGGGGGGATAGGAGGAGTGAGGAAGGGTAGAAGGAGTGAGGAAGGATAGAAGGGGTGAATGAAGGGTAGAAGGGGTGAATGAAGGGTAGAAGGGGTGAATGAAGGGTAGAAGGGGTGAATGAAGGGTAGAAGGGGTGAATGAAGGGTAGAGGGAATGAGGAGGAGGAGGGGTAGAGGGAATGAGGTGGGGGAAATAAATAAAACCTGTAAAGAGGGGAAGAGAGAGGTGACGGGAAGAGTGGGGGAGTAAGTGTTAAAGAGGGAGATAAGGAGCTATAAACCTCTCTCTCTCTCACCTCTTTATTCTACTTTTCCCATCGTCTCATTCCATCTTCCTCATCCGTTTGTTATCATGGTTTCCTTCATCTCCGCCCTTCGCCTCAATCCTCAAACCCATCTTTCTCTTTTCAGTTCTCTTCCTCTTCCCTTTCTCTCCTACTCCCCCTGCAACTCTCCCTAACTTTCTTTCTTCTCTTTCTCCCACTCCTCTCCCCCTTTTCCCCTCTACTGTCCCTCCCCCTTCTTCCTTACTCCCTTCCCAATTCTTTCTCCCCTTTCACATCGGGTCTTACCTGCCCGTAGGCCCAGGTAGGTGTTTTGATAACGAGTATATGCACTTTAATATTTCCAGGTATTGTATACAGTTCCACGCCGACCAGCACTGCCGCCGCCGCTGTGTGTGTGTATGTGTGTGTGTGTATGTGTGTGTGTGTGTGTGTGTGTGTGTGTGTGTGTGTGTGTGTGTGTGTGTGTGTGCGTGCGTGTGTAATTTTATGAAACGTTTGAAAATTATCTGAAAATACGACTACCTAAATACAGAAATTCTACAGTTATTTGTATATTGCTTATAAATTTAAACATATGGAGAAATTGTTAGAAGTTAAGGCTTGTAGTTCCCTCCATTAACTTAAAGAACCTAACTAAGAGAAAGATAGAGAAGAAGAATAAAGGATTTTTTAGGTCAATATTCAGGAGAAAAATTTACAGGAACATTTTTAAGAGAACATCCCAACCACTCGGGGAAATTAGTCGTTGGGCCCAAGAGAGGTAAAACTTATCAACAACATTTTCAGGGAGTTGCACTAGTTAAAAAGCATATAACCATTATGTAAGGCAATGATTACAGTTATTAATAAACAAATATTTTTACAAGAAACACAATGGTCATATAAATAAAGAATAATAACGGTAAAAATAATCAATTAATTTTATCGTTGGCTCCATATATAACAGTAAAAAAAAAAACATTAAGAAAAATACAGTGTTATGGTAGTTCTTTGAGTTAGGAGACTGATTGTTATGAGATTATTAATTTAAGCGAGAGTAACTTGAACCGCGTATAGAGATGGCGTAAAACTCTACGGATTTCTCCAACCACGTTTCACTATCTCCTCTCATGCGTCTTGTCGTTCAATAGGGTAACTCAGTCAGTGCTTCCTCCTTCACCTTGTACGAATTACCCTCATGGAGTTTCAACCTTGGTCAGGTCTCATTATATACTAAGTAACAATTAACTAACAACGTCACGTAAATAATTAGTGTCTATAAAATGGTTGCATAAGTCTGCTTAATATCATACAACTGCCGATGATGATGAACGTCCCCAGATGGTCAGCGTTGAGGGGCATACAAACAAACTATGGGAGAGAGAGAGAGAGAAAGAGAGACTACATATATGCATTTACGGAGAGAGAGAGAGAGAGAGAGAGAGAGAGAGAGAGACGCCATTAACTCATACACCACTGGGAAGAGCCATAAATCAACTCCACACCACCAAGTGTAGCCGAGTCCTGAGGAGGAAGCCAGAGACGATGATGATAATGAGTGTTGAGAGAGGACTCGAGCACTACATTAGCCGCCTCTCCAGCCCGCGACACACAACACTCCCTCTATTTCCCTCCACCCCAATCTCATTAGCCCCTCTTAGCACTTTCAGCGTCCCCTAGCGCCACGCCTTGCTCGCCCCCTCACGTTTGTTTACCATCTTGGGAGGGTTACGAGAGAGGGGAAGACCAAAATATATATGATTACGAAGGGTGCGCTGGACACTGAATGGAACAGCACTAGTTTATGGTTTCAGCATGGGGTGGGATGATGAGTGGAAGAGAAGCAGTTTATGGTTTCAGAGTGGGACGGGACGGCCAGTGAAATAGCTATATACTATGGGATTATAAGACTGCGGGAAAGGTGAACACACGTGTAATGACAGGAGATATACTAGTCACGAGGGTTAGGTTAGGTGAGCGGGGGAGCAGAGCAGGGGAGCAGTAAAGGCGAGCACAATAAATAGTTTCATTAATAGCATGTGTATTTATGGCAGTACCAACGCAGGTAAAGACAAAAGAGTTACATGAAAAGGTGATCTAGTTTTTATCTCTATAATTGTGTTTTAATGCAACACTATGAAGGGGACCTGTCACTTGATGTTACCTAATACTATACACCTGGACTAGTGACGTCTATAAATAAACCTGGGTTTTAACTGGAACACTGACTCTGGCCCGGTCTAGGGGGTGACGGGTGTGTCGTGATATAAGAAACAAAAGAAGAACGATGAACTGTGGCGTATGTTGTGTTAGATACATTCATTTATTGGTGTTGCAGTTATGGGATTCGAACCTCCATACTACCTGAATGGAAATGCTTTATTACATGAAGATTAGCCCCCCCCCCCCCAGCTTACTACACAATAAGATAAACCAACCTAACGTTAGCCTAAATTAACCTGCTCTCCCTGCCAGGTAAATTAACCCGGGGAGGGAGGTTAATCTTCAGATGATCCATAATTTGTGAATAAAGTAAGATATCATACATCTGTTATCCACGTAAACATTTATTTGTTATTTAAGAGATTTATTATCATCTGTTGACTCTTGTTGTCTGTGTAGGAGTCATTCAGAGACCAGTTGCCAAGGGTATAGTGTTAGTGTCATCAGTCGGGCCAAGAAGACAAACATTCTCACTGTTCTTCACGCCATCACCTCCATTAGGCGCTCAGGTGGTAATTAGGAGCACCTCTCTCACACACACACACACACAGTCTCTCTCTCTCTCGTCATATGTTTTCTTGGTTAGGTTAGGTTAGGTTAGGTTAGGTGAGGTGAGGTGGTACAAGAATACTGAGTAGGCTAAAAATTGTGGTAAATGAGAGTAAATAAACACAGACAATAGAAATGCGCAGTAAGAGTTCTCTAGGACAAGAGAGAGAGCGAACAGAAAGAGCAAAGAGCAGCACCTCCCTCCCCCTCCACTCTCTCTCCCAGCATTACACATACACACTCGTCACCATGGAAACGATCAGCTGTTGGGACCCGCAAATCCTACTGAAGTCTTACCAGCCAGCCAGCCACCCAACACACCCAATACCATTCCATCATTCATCATTCCATATCTTATTCATCCTTACCTGTAATATAACCAATCACATACCTCTATATATTACATCATATCGTATTGTGATCTACAACAATAAGGTGTAGGCGTGATTTATTTTTTTCTGGGTGGGGCCTTTACGAGAGCCACGGTGAATAGGTTACATTGGCGAGGCGGTGAGGATTGCAGGCCAGACAAGAATAACCCCCCCAAAAAAGATGGCTGGCTGGTTATGTGATGAGAATCTTTGATCATTGAAATATCTCCGAAATATAGATGACGACGGCGGAGAATAAGATTAATATTCCATAATTTTTATTTATTTTTCCCAATCTCGTATGGTAATTTTTTTGCTCTATGCCATCTAGTTAGAATATAAACAATACTCTCGCTTCCCTCATTCTCAAACTGTTTAGACCAACATCCGCCATTGTGTTACCTTCCCACTACGAGGTTTCAATATAGCCAGCTGCTTGACCCATTTTACGTCATGCAACTTCCCAGCTTCACACAACAGCATAAAGTTTACCCCCCCAAAAAAAATTATTCGTCCTAAAATTGACAATTCTTCTAAACACACCGCCAATCTGTTACTTTCTAGGAACCATCTAGCAACCCCCTCCCCCCACTATCCCCCTCCCCACCACCACCCACCGCCCCCACCCACCATCCAGCGCCTCTCCCTCACCCAATTTTATCTTCCATCGCAGTTTAAGCTCCTCTCCTGTCGAAGCTTTACTCCTTAAAACGTCTCCCAACTTCCCTCAACTGCAGGCACATCCTCTCTCACACCACCTACCCCCCGCAACACATCCCTTCCTACCCCCAGCACATCTCTACTACTTTCCCCTTCCCTCTGACACATCCCTTCCACCTGACACCCACCTTCCCCTCCCCCATGACACCTAACGTCCCCTTCCTCTGATACCCACCTCCCCTTCCCTTAACAGATCCTCAGAATCCCCCAGGATCAACGTCGTAATCCCTAGAAAATCGGACAACATATTAATAATGTTTCTAGACGTACAAAAATACTTCTCCCAATTAACACAAGTCTTATGGAAGGTCTTACCGTCTAGTTTTACCGCTTACCGTCTAGTTTTACCGCCAGCCACACTTAGGAAGACCATTTGTGACACATCCTTGTTTAACCCCGCACCACGACGTATTCTTGTTTAACCCAGCACCACGACGCATTCCTCACCTTCCTTCCTCCCTTCCCTCCCATTCTCCCATCCTTATCTCACAGGTTGAGATGTTGATAAAGAACAGCGTCTTCTCCCGTTAGAACACCATCCAGAGAGCTGAACCTTTAAGTTGGGCGAACACAACCACCAGGGGGCAGTGTGTGTCATATATATATAATTTATAATCTCGCTCGACTGACATGACTGTTTAATCTAAGGCAGTATTGACTTAAAAATTTATTTGGAAGCAGTTTCAGACGCAATCGCCGCTCTAAAACGAACCTGGGACGGTGTTCTGGCGAGACAAAAGGTACAGTGAACAACACAAACTCTTAAGGCTGTGAAATATTTGACTAAAGACGTTTCGAACTCAAAACATGTCAATTTAGCCGTTCACACTATTATAATGCACAAGAGGCCACATACTACAGTCCCTATACTGTATATATATATATATATATATATATATATATATATATATATATATATATATATATATATATATATATATATATATATATATATATATATATATATATATATATATATATATCTTGATAAAATCACACGAAAATGGAAACAACGGATTAGTGGATGTCATCATTATGACCTGACCTCATGTTTTTAGGTCACCCTGTATATTTAAGCCTCTGTCCAAGTAATCCAGTTGCTCTCTGAAGATGTCTTGAATAAAGACGAGAAAGCTAAGGTACCTGTTGTTTCCATTTTCCCGTGTGATTTTATCAAGATTTATCTTATCCACGTTTTCATTGTGGATTTACATGAGATATATATATATATATATATATATATATATATATATATATATATATATATATATATATATATATATATATATATATATATATATATATATATATATATATATATATATATATATATATATATATATATATATATATATATATATATTAGATATTCTTAATTTCATAGGCATTCTAAATATACAAAGTGCATCTCTTTCACCAAACAGCCAATTTCAGGTGAAATTTGGTTTACTTACTTGGTCTATATGGAGTGAAGAATACCTTTAAGAACAGAGAAGTGTTACGTAATGAAACAATAGTAAGCAGAATATTAAGTACAGTACAGTGGCGGCTCCTACCGTCACGCACATTATTGTATCATCCTTAATATATCAACAGTGTAATGATAAAACTCCACCAAATAAGACAAAGATATATTCCTGCAGATATAAAAGGATACTTCCATTCTACCACGTCTATGCAGACCTTCCTCAATGGGTTCTTGAGGCCCAGGCAGAAGAGTGCTCGGGCTGGGCGGTTCTCTGGAGGCTTGCCCACGGGCCGGCGGGGGGGCGGCCGCTTCCGCTGTGGGTGGGACCAGGTCGTGGGCAATAGTGGTCAGGGGAATAATGGGAGCCGGGGAAAGTAGTGAGAGGACAAGTTAATGGATGGAAGGACCAAGAAATTGTGGGAAAGGAGGAGACAGAGGTGGAGAAGACGATGACAGAGGTGGGAAGGGAGAGACAGTGATGGGAGGGCCGGGGACATTAAGAGGGAGGTCAACGGTATTAATATGAAGGGAGCAATAATGTAAACGGAACAGAAGTGAGTTGGTAGGGGCAGAGGAATAGACAGGAGAGGCAGAGAAAAAAAGTGAAAAGAGAACAAAAGAGAAGGAGAGGAACACAGATAGGTAGACACAGGTAGATAATGCATAGAGAAATATAACAGAAGAGAGAGAAGAGAGAGAGAGAGAGAGGGGGGTGAAAGAGGAGTGGAAAAGGGAGGGGAGGAGAAGAAGAGTGGTGATAAGAGAGGGAAGACATCAATAGATCGGTAGGTGAGTGGGGAGTGGGGGGGAGTGGGGAGTGGGGGGGGGAGTGGGAGGACCGAGTTTTAAGTGTGGGAAGCAGAATAAAAAGCATAGTTATTAATCTCACTCTATACAATACACTTATCTTTAATTCTATAAGACTTAAAAGAATTATCAGGTCTTGCTTATTCCTGCTTTCCGTGATGAGTGGAATGATGAAAGGATATGATAACTTTATAGGTGAATTAAAAAAAAAAAATAATAATAATAATACTCAAGGCTTAAGAGGCAAAAATTGTAAACACTATTAACAAGCATTATAAAACGGATGATATATATGTATTTTTAAAGATATTAGTTACCCAAAAATAAAACAAATCCGCTCTAAAATTGGTATACAATGATTTAATATTTACAATGTACTACACGACACTAGATGATGGATCAATGTTCTATCTCACAATAGCTACAGTGCAACAGCGAGATGCAGAGCCAAGCTAGCAGGACCCACAGCCAACATAACATCTACTAGCAGCTGTCTTAGAACATGCTAACAGCGACGTTCTCTCTAGTGCGGCGGCATAGACCAAAGGTGCTCACTTCTTACAAAAAAATAACACTATAGTTTCCCCTACTTATGGGTGGAAATGAAGAAACGACAAATTACCTTCAACACTACGGGGATCATTATAACAGTGAGGGGAGGGAGGGGGTGACTATTTCTGGGGAGGGAAGCGTTCAGGGGTGACTATTTCTGGGGAGGGAAGAGTTCAGGGGTGACTATTTCTGGGGAGGGAAGAGTTCATGGGTGACTATTTCTGGGGAGGGAAGAGTTCATGGGTGACTATTTCTGGGGAGGGAAGAGTTCATGGGTGACTATTTCCGGGGAGGGAAGAGTTCATGGGTGACTATTTCCGGGGAGGGAAGAGTTCATGGGTGACTATTTCTGGGGAGGGAAGAGTTTATGGGTCCCAAACTAAGATAATATTGAGCCTTATTACGCACTGCTACACCTCACCTACACATGCTACAGTGTTACGCTGTTTCTTCAAGCTACCAGTTCCCGTGTGGTGGCTGGGCTGTGTCTCCCCGTCGTCACACTGTGGAGGCTGCCTACGACAACCCACCGACTTCCACTATGATCATACATATTTTATTATATTTTATTTATCCGTGACCCTCTTGTACCACCTATAGGTCCCGCCTTTTTCTCTTTCACACTGGGAATACTACTCAGAGATTTAATAATTTCTACACTCCAGCTCTTGGGAATTTATCACTCTTTCTATATGAAAATTGTTATAATCGAGAACAATTTGACGGTTTTAAAGAATTTTTTTCTTAAAGGTTTTTGTCAACTGTTTTTCTCAATATCTTTACAATAATGGTCACTGCTTCGGGAACCATAACAAGTAACACCTATGGAATAATTCGCCAGGTAAAATTACTTGTTTCTTTATTGTATCAGATAAATAATATAAACCTGAGACTTAACATGAAGATAGGCGTAACTTAGCAAACTATGAGTCAATATTCGAACTCTTAACTATACATAAACCGTAAATAAACCCGGTACATGTTACAAAGACTATAAGAGGAGAACAACTGGAATTATTTAAACTCTTACGAAACTTAAGTAATCCACGAAGGAAAATGTATCAATCGGTCATAAAAAAAAGTTAAATAAAACGCCTTGATGTCTTGATACGTTCCGAGATTAACTTAACACTGATATACTGAACCTAAAGTAAACAATTTTAAGCCGTGACTTTGTATTCTCTTTCTCTGTAAAATTCCCTCTTTTCTTAGATTGTCTTTAAATATTTTTAATTGATATATAAAGTTTTTTTTTTTTTTTTAATTTCCACCAAGCTCAAAATTCTTGTCATTTACTGATTGGTGGTAAACTTATCCTTTTAGTCAGCCTGAAAGTCGTCTAAGAAGACTGCCAATTGCTTATAAGGTTTCTGATATGATATAATTTGTTTAGCGTTTATTAATAACCAAAGGTGAAACTTCTAATCGTATATAGTTTTGCGGTAATTTTCATATCATTTGTAGAGCCTTATAAGTTATTTAATATACGTCAACTGACTAGACGTTTTCCCGCCAGAGCTTTTCTCTTCTCTATAGCCTAAACAATGCAGAAGGAACATTCTAAGTCTTCTATGAAAATACATAACTTTGGGGGGAAAAAGGTTTAATAAAAGGAGGGGATACTGTTTTATTGTCCTGTACCGTGTAAAACAGTGAGGGTTGCAACAATTAAGAGTAATAAATGAGGGAAGATTGAATGAGTGAATGAGAATGAACAGCGTAAATGAAGAGAACGCACTTATTGATACACTTTTCTACACAACTAACCACTAAATTTTAAAAGAATCTTATTCGTTTTTCTTATATGATATGTTTTATATATTATAATTTGTTTAATAATGCGCTATACTTTGTCATCGTGTTGATACCTTCCATTCACCCATACACTACTTATTTAATGTTTTGTTTTGTATATTTAGAATAAGAAGTTTCCAAGTGTCCTTATCCTCGGCTAATTATTCGTATAAACACCACAACTCATGAAGAAAAATTACATATTCCTTCAAAACTTTGTGCTGTTTAGAACTCGCTCGACCAAGTTCAGTATCAAGCATGATTCACTAACTCTGCTGGGACACAGGAGGGAAGAGATAGCATGATTCGCTAACTAAGCTGGAACACAGGAGGGAAGAGATAGCAGGATTCGCTAACTCTGCTGGGACACAGGAGGGAAGAGATAGCAGATCGCTAACTCTGCTGGGACACAGGAGGGAAGAGATAGCATGATTCACTAACTCTGCTGGGACACAGGAGGGAAGAGATAGCATGATTCGCTAACTAAGCTGGAACACAGGAGGGAAGAGATAGCAGGATTCGCTAACTCTGCTGGGACACAGGAGGGAAGAGATAGCATGATTCGCTAACTCTGCTGGAACACAAGAGATAAGATACTGTATATAGATAGGTTTAACTCTTATAAGAATGCTTCCATATAACAACTGGTTTGTAAAAGTCGTGTTATTTAATTAAGCGTTTGGGATGTTTCCATTTACTCGTCTATCATTTAAGTGCATCTCATAAGTGCGTTCTCAGCCCCATAGCCACATCAACACAAACTCTCTTGGGAATAAAACTTAAAATAAAATATGACGAAATGCCATAAACCAAAATTTACAAACTTGTCACTGAAAGAGAGAGAGAGTGAGTGGGTGTGTGAGAGGGGGTGTGAGAGGGGTGTGAGAGGGGTGGCGGGGCGTGATGAAGGGTGAAGCCAGTAGTGATGATGATGAGGCTTACACCCTTGTGTCACATGAGTGTTATAACTCCGCTACCTGACACAACACATGAAAGGTGACATAATGTACACCATCCGCTAGTAGTGTGCAGTGCTGTAGTGTACAACATCCACTACTGGTGTACACGTATGTAGTGTACAACCGTGTACAACATACTGCAGTTAACTGTAGTACACAGTATTATAGAGATACTTAAGTGTTATAGTATTTAACACTACAGTATAACATGTAAGAAATGTACAAACTAATGCCAGGTATATTACAGCAATGAAGTGTACACCAACACACATAAGTGTGCAGAAGTGTACAGCCACTGACGACAACCTGTACTGATGTGTCGTAATAATTATCAGAATATAAGGATGTGTGTGTGTGTGACACTGGCCGATGTACACCAGTGGTCAGTGTACAGGTGTATAACAGTTATACCAGTGTACAACAGTGACTGCATAATGCACAGGGACTAAATGGGCAAAACACCGAGAACAAGAAAACGGTTGTTTTACCTCCGCCAATCAGGCGCCAGAACACTGTACTAAAACAGCCAATCAGGCGCCAGAACGCTGTACTATAACAGCCAATGAGGAGCTAAAAGTATCCGCTCTTAACCAATGAAGATCTTGACATTTATTAATTAATTCCTTGACTTTTGAGATTTGTTAAGCTTTGTAATATACAAGAGAGAAGAAATGTGAAATATAGCATATTATGGCAAGATGCAAATACTGAAAGCAACTTCAAGATCTTTTGAAGACTGTTATTTATCTCCCAGACACCAGTACTGACCTCAGTTACCAATAATGGAACAACACCACTGACTTATAAACATTCACAACTACTATGGACAAGAAAACTAACTCTTAAATACTCTTACCGTAATACAAGCAACTAAGGAGAGGAAATTAACTTGTTGTTCCCCTGGTCAGTGCTGATGGCTGGGGTATTGTTGTCTAGCAGAGCTTAAACATAGACTAAGAATACGGGAGGTCACCAGCACCTCTACACCCTACGAGTTACTCTATTACCCCCTAATGCTTCCAGGAGAGGCTAGTACTGTAGAGCATAACCTGAAAATAAATAGTAATTAACTAGTTCCACATCTATAGTCATCCTAGTTTGTTGTGTTCTCTCTAATGTGATAATTTAATCCATGTTTGTACGTGCCTGACTGACTACATGATATATAACTCTAACACATCAGTATAACCCTGAAATACTCC